AATGAATAATATTGTTCTTCTATTTGGATTGTTTTATTACTCTCAGTTGATGATTTCCCAACATAATAATAATAGTTCGACACTATTTCACGTTTCAATCTTTTATTTTCAATTTTCTTTTAATTGACCAATTTTCAGAGTGAATAAATGTTAGTTGTTACTGTGTAGTAAATAATTAGCTCTTGATTAGAGTTAAATTTTTCTTTGGTTTTTGATTATTCATAATCATGAAATCATTCCTATGGAATATTTAGTAATAATAATAATAATACACCGGGCGTCAACATTTAAAAAGGAAAAAAAAAACAGGACCCTGAAATGTAACATAAAGAACACCAACCTAATCACAATTGATGAAGAATCTCAAAAAGAGGTGGAAATTTTTCACGTACCTGGACAGCATGATTGATAGATAAGGAGGATCTTGTTATAAATATAAAGGCAACGATTTGCAAAGCAAGGACAGCTTTCCTACAATTGAAGAACACATAGAACTCAGAACAACTGTCTATTAGCTCCAAAGTCAGAATCTTCAATACGAACGTCAAGATAGTTTTATTGTTCGAGGCTGAAACTTGGAGAACTACTACAAACATCATCAAAAAAGTACAAGTATTTATAAACAAACATCTGTGTAAGATTCCTAATTTCTGTTGTCTGAATACCATCAGCAGTAGTCTACTGTGTGAGAGAACAAACCAACTGCCAGCTGAAGAGGAAATTAGGAAAAGACGATGGAAGTTGACAGGACATACATTGCGGAAATCATTAAACTGCATCGAGAAGCAATTTTTAACTTGGAATAAGAAGCAGACATCAAAAGGATGAATAGCAATTGGAAACAACTGAAAAAGAAAGCTCAGAACAGAGTTGGTTACAGAATCCTATTCGGTGGCCTATAATCCACGAGTAATGACAAGTGTAAGTAACTAAGTTTAATCTATTTAAACAACCATGTACTGTGTCGAATGCAGAAATTTCACTGAACAATTACAAATTCTGACTTAACATTCACCCATTTCTAAAACAATTTCAAATAGATTTCTAGACTGATTTATAACTTCTCTTCTTTTAGACAAAGTTTACGTTGGATCAGATCACTTTTTATTGACTGAGTGTTCCTAATGTCATATGTTGAGCTTGAATAACGTATTTGATAAACAGACACATTTACAATGTGTTTTGAATTATGAATAACCGTATCTCTAGCATGTACCAGTACAGAGTAAATTATTCATATTATTGATTTTCATCACTCCGTTGCATGTGCGTAATTGTAATTACATCTAAGCATCAAATCTTATGAGAGGAAGTAGTGACAATTGTGAAGTCGTTATAGTGAATTCCTCCCTCGAAACAGAAGTAAAATAATTTTCGAACAATACAAATAGTTATTTTCTGATGTAGAAAGTTACCTTGCGTTGCACCAAACAAACATAAATTAACACACCAAAATGAGTGTGAATTACTGATCGACTGACAATTGTTTTTGTTATGATTAATCACAAAATTTCACTTTATATTAATATTAAAGGGACTTTAAAGTCATTGTTGTATATGATAGTTTATACTATGAGCTAACTTTTAGGTAGAGAGCCGATGAAACTAGGAAACACTGAACAAATGCTTTGGCTGTGCATGAGACTACTCCAAAGTGCACACTCACCACTGAGCGTTCACTATGAGAACTGAAGGTCCTGGGTCCGATCTCCAGTGTAATGTTGGAAGTTCACTGTTGAGAACTCATACTGACACAAAAATAAACACATGCGTTTCTTGTGCCCTGTTGAGGCTTGTGTGATTCTGTTGGGATATTCAGGAAAATATCCCAAAAATTATCCTGTTAAGCCTAGTGCTATCCTTGGACATGAAATGGTATCATCTTATTGGTCAGTATTTATTTAACGTGTCATTTTCCTACTGGCCATTATTGTACAATGTTATCTTCTATTTTATGGTACGTTGTGGACTGCTTGAATGGTATATAAACAAGTATGTTTGAAATATAATGATTCATATATCCGAGGGTGAAACTTGTGTTCTGGACTCAACTGGCTGGATTAGGCGGGGAAGCGAGGCCAATCAGAACCCTAGGTCGTTCTACGTGTTTGTGCGTCTTTGGTCCGATCAATAATTCGCTATCCCTTAATCCGCAGCAAATCATTTTTCACAGTTATAACAGATTCACTCATATCTATAGGAACAGTTGTTTGATCTAGTCCGAGTACTGATTATTTCACCGAGATTTTCTATATAGGAACAATAGCTTTCTGCTGATTAATGACGCGATAATCCACCTTTGACCAATAATGGAATGGCTGTGAGGTAACGGGCAAGATCATTTCTTAACGCCTGCTGGTCGAAGATTCTGTTATTCCACACTCACCTCCGCGACACGCAGAGTAGAACAAGAACACAGTAAACATATAACATCTGTCGTACAGTTCAATCCTATACTTTAGTTAGCACAATAATATAGAGTTGATTCTTGACAATCGACCAACATAAATAAGAAATTATAAAACATGCATAACTACACCATCAATAGAAGATAACTAAGTGATAATTACGTAAATAAACGACTATAACTTGAGGAAGTTGAAACATACAATGATAATTTATGAGCCAAAAGAAAGCTTACAAATACCAAGAAACAATAAGCCAAACATTCAACAATCGTACAACATTTAAACAATAATTGTTCGTTAGGTAGTTTTGAGAGTTACAACCTCTACACTATTTTCCTCCATCATAGAACAGACTAGGAAGAAATAGTTGTCCATTGCTTCATGGCTTTTAATGATTATTTTACTAAGGGTCAATCATTATCATATTACTGAAATACAAAATAACAAAGCGAAAATCAGAATAACTGTTATATTCAATGAAGATTAAACGAATGATGACTGCCAGGATTAATTCCTAGACTATTACTATACATATTCTTATTGTATAATTACAACTAGATTATATATATATCATGAATTTACGTTCGACTCATTCACTACTGTTAAACGTTTAACTATTCTTAATCTGTTTTCCGCAATCTCCATTACTCACAACCATCTTCTGGCTCTATCCTTGCTATATTTTAATTCATGGTGTGATGTGGTTGGGTATTTCTGTATATGAACCACGTATGTTCGAAATATACTATTCGTATAGCAGAGTCCATTAGCTGTGTTCTGGACTCAATGCTCAAGGAAAGTATTAAATAGAGGACGAATAAGAGCTCTGTGTCGACTCAAGGTTTACAGTGCTGTAGATGAGTTCCCATTAGTGTTTTTGTCATGTGATATTAGTGAGTGGTCATAAGTTATAACTAACATTTTTTAAAATGTTATTCTGAAAGGGATTTGGATGAAATTTAACGATTTTAATTTATTGAACTGATCAATGTTAACCATAGAAATACCATGTAGTATAATATTAACTAATCCAGAAAAATATCCCATTCCGATAGCACGTAAACAACTTTATTAGAACCCCTTGTCTCAATGAGGGTAAGGATAAAAAAGTTGTAGGTACTGAATCAGAAAGTAAAATACAGTCAATTAAAACGGCAATGATAACAATTACAATAATCAGTACCTTCGGTAAATTCTATTGATGTATTAAGAAGTTGAGTAAAAATGTGATGTATGTTTGCAATATACATTTAAAACAATCTAATCACACATATAACTACCAAGGGATTAATAAATCAAAACCAATAAAGGTCGAAAGAATAAAGGATTAACAAAATAAGCGATAATCCGAAACAAAAAAGAGAAAATTAACATAATATTGGGAAGAATAAGAAGTTATCATAACAAATAGATGAAAGATTAGCAGGGTAGAAACAAGGTTAAAGTAAATCGGTATACAATAGAGGGTTGAGTTTCCTAATATTCAAGGCTTTTACAAACTTAAGAATCAGTCCTTGACAATTTCTACACTATACTTTAAAAGTTGCTTTAAGGTCAATCAAGTGACCTATTTCGACTGTGTTTTGCTATCTAGGATTATGGCCTCCTACTTCCTGTTTACTGGAGCGCTTAACATTAACTGACTAAGGAGATGTTTATTTCTAAATCTATTCTCTATATGAATTACTTTATAAATGCGTTTTCACAAGTCTGGAACAATTTACCACAATATTTATGTCGACAGACGAAAGTATTATGTAACACCAATTAGAAGTGGAATGCCTGAAAGCAAAGGGTTGAGAAGATTGAACTGAAAAAAATCAGGAAGGAAAAGATAAAGGAATCGAGAATTGGAAGAATCAAGAAGAATGTAAAGAACAACTGATGGAAGATGTGCAAGTGAAGTATTTAATCTATGGTTTTCGTATTTTACGAAGACATTCTGTAATTTTGTATTAACTGATAAATTGGTTGTTCCCACTACAGTACTATTTTCCCTAATTCAGTTTTCCCCATGACCTTTGGCGTTTTTCTAATTAGTTCGCTAAATTTTTATTTGTTCGAAGATCATATTTTCGTTAGTATGTATGCGGAGTTATACCACTTTATTTAATTTAGCTTGGTCTACTTTAGTTATCAAGTTTTCTGATTTCTATCTCTGTTAGTTGGTCAAGTGTTGTGTACTAGTTACCCTTATGAATTTACACAACACAACCAGCTGTATTAAAGTTTGTACTGAACATCAAAATATCAAGAATTCACACTTTGTAAATAATGTACCACCATTTTTTTCAAAAATATTACCTCTCTATTCTATATCACTTTCCTTATCTCCCGATAAATTGATGTGTATTGTTCAATAATTTTTAGAATAATTTATAGTTACAAACACGAATTTATTCTATATGAAAATAGACATAATTATTACGTAATGTACGAAGTTGTAATTATTTCAGCACCGGATTTGAAATGATCCTCTACAGAAAAAAAACCCAATCAAGTCAGTAGTAGGCAGAATAAGTCAAAATAAATCAAAAGATTGTGATTACAAATCCAACACGATCCAGGAGTAATATTTTGCCATTCAATCAATTACCATTTCTTCAAAATTTCATATGCCGAATTCAATGTTGAATCCTCCTGAAAAAGTCATAACAGGAAAAACATCAAAATATCAATAGCTAAACATTTTGCAAAGAACAGACAATTACACAAACAATTCCAAATGATACTCAATAAATAGATAGATTTATTGATCACCAAACGTGGATAACTAAGTTATTAACTTGTATACAGTGAGAATAGAGGCTTAATGCTTAAAAAATTCGCTTTAGGCAATTTAGTTTCAGATTCGAACGTACTGCGGATTTACTAAAATAATGTTCCATGGATTTCATCAGTTAGTTAAAATAGACCAATTAGATTCAATTGTCCCAATATTTAATACATTTCGCAGTTATAACGTAACAATCAAGAATTAGTATCCATTAAAAAGATCCCGATTAAAGAAAGGACACATCAATAATGACGACCATTAAAAACGTAGACATCAATAAAGGAGAAAATAGAAAAACTCTACCTTGAACAAAATGTTCGAATATGGAAACAATTTGTTATTATCAATCCACTCATGTCATTGCAAACAGCTATTTTGAAGAGAAAGCTTTAGACAATATATCTTTTCATTCACTATTGAGTATTATTTTGATATGATATTTATGCTTTCATTCATGGTTAAGATATCTATTGGGCGTTAACATTAGTATTTCATTGAGAATGGAACCATAGTGACTGATCATTTTGTAAGTATTCACTGTGTATTTGAGAAATCTTCTAATTAATACTTACATTTGATTGATGACTAAATTTTATAATAAGAAACAAGATTAGCAGACAGACAATTGTTTCATCGTATAAAAATTTAACTATTATGGATTATCCTTGAGAAAGTAATGCCATTTTTAACTTGGAATAGCTATATGTAAGAATTATTCAGACTAATGTTTATTCTAAATGGGATATATTTTCGGACATGTATATGTAAGTACGTTTGTGTGAATACAATGTGAATAAGTCATCCGTATGTTTATAAAGAATAGAGAATTCCAGTTAACGAATAACCCGATAGTAGCTGCTACACTGACGTGGTGTTCCGGCTTACCTATCTTGATGACGCAATCGAGCTATATTGGCTAAAATATATGTTCTTGTAGGTTCTACCATGCCAGGCAGGTCACTTGGAGAACGGTAAGACTAAAAGCAGCAACTCAAGGTCTGAGGGCGAAGTCATACTGCTAACTGTAGAGGAGTGCGACAGCAGTAAGGTATTTTCCTCGGAAAACCAGCATTTGCAGCGATGCTGCCTTCACACAAGGAAGGAAGGGGTTAGAAAAGACTGACCCTAAAAATATCACACCTCACGGATTTCCGTCTCCGAAAATAAGGCCTTTTGAATAACGGAGCTAGCACGTTAAAAAATTCCAAAGAAAGACCGTGAGTGACCGGACTCAATCAATTGTCCGTTGGGCTCTGCGGTCACGCTACCAGGTCGTTAAGACTAATACTAATTCACATTTTTTATCAGGTTTATGTAAGAGCTTTAAACGTCTGAACATTATGCCAAATAGGACAACAGACTTATTTAGCTAGGACTTTAGAACCTCGCGCCATCGATGTATGCTGCGTATCCAAAATGCGCATACAGGATCCGAGTAGTGCCATTCATTTGACTTCATATCAAAACAAAGATTCATCTCAATTCATGATTCATGTATCTGGAAGCCCTGATCCCGCCTCCTGTGGCCTACTCTCTCACTGACTGCAGCTCAGATGAGGTAAGAGATGAGTTTTACAGAAAGCTTTCTGACCTCCTCTAAAAAATTAGGCGCTCTGATGTAGTAATAGTGGCTGGTGACGTTAATGCTCAAATGGGTCTTATAGTGTCTTGAATTAAACAACAAATAATGGCGACCGTCTGTTGCAAGTTTCCCGAGATTTTTAAGGATGGCGGTCCAGTATTAGCAGTGAGATTGACTGAGGTCTTAGGAAAAGGGTACTAGGTAAGGATAGCAATGCAGTTGATGAAGTAGTGAAATTTTATCAGTTGAGATGGCTGGGACAAGTGTTACGTATATCCAACCACCGACTGCCTCGACGTGCTATGTTCAGTGGTATAGGAGTAGGTTGGAAGAAAGCTAGGGGTGGCCAGACCAAAACATGGCACAAATCCATGAAGTCACTGATAAGTGGACTGAGCCATGTTGGTAAGTGTAGACTACCTGGTTGGGATCAGCGAGACGATAGCAACAGATGGTAAGAGACCTTGGATGGCATCGCTCAAAATCGTTTGCAACGGCGCAGGTGCATCCACTCTTTGTATTCTCTCAAATTCTAATCTTCTGAATTCTTTGTCCCTTTTTTCTCTTTCCAAATTTATTTCACTGGATTGTACTCCTTGAATAACATCTTCAAACCCTAATCTTTCCAATTACTGCATATACTTTTACTACCTCTACCACGACTGGATTTGAATTGACAATTGTATCTCTGTGCTAATGTGGTATGGCAACCCGAACTGATGTACGTACGTACGTACGAAGTTCTACGTTTTTGCTGACTGACCGAGAGTTAACAAATAAAATTCTAGTGATATACAACTGCCTTACAAAAGAAAATATTCGTGAAACACTTATTCAAAGATAATTATTTTAGCCTGAGGAATAAGCATCAACTGAGGGCCAATATTGAAATGATGTTTACAAACTCCATATTATCGCCTATTGTTAAGATAATATGCGTTACCAGTCTTCATTCTCTCCTAATCCAACTCATTTTCTGTGAAACGCTTTGTACTATTTGCTAATATTCAGTAGTCAATTTTATTTCTAAACTAAAGTATTTCTATATACGAATATTCGTCAAGATTAGGACGAATAGTTTGACAGAAATTGGGCACCGAGTAAAGAGAAGTCATTATATGTGAAAATTATATTTGAAATAATCTCAGCGATTGAAATGTAGATAATTCCAACGTTTCATCTAGCTAACTTGTCTGGACTTCTTCAGGGTAATAATCAAAATCATCAAAGAAATATATAGCTTTTAACAATCATAACTATACTGTGTTACACCAATCAAATTTGGATGTTGATTTTTGTAAAATAGGATACAATGAGTCAGTTAACTACAACTCATGTGAAAAAATCCAACAACATGGAAATAATTAACTGAATAACAAATTGTATGCGTGTGAGTGTGTATGTATGTATGTGTGAGATTATTGATGTTCTGTGTTGACATGTACAAAGATGATTCATTAACAATTTTATCAACCTTGAACTTGCACTTTTATTTACTTATTTATTCCTTCATATACAACATATCAACACAGAACGTCAATAATTAATCTCACACATACATACATACACACTCACACGCATACAATTTGTTATTCAGTTAATTATTTCCATGTTGTTGGATTTTTTCACATGAGTTGTAGTTAACTGACTCATTGTATCCTATTTTACAAAAATCAACATCCAAATTTGATTGGTGTAACACAGTATAGTTATGATTGTTAAAAGCTATATATTTCTTTGATGATTTTGATTATTACCCTGAAGAAGTCCAGACAAGTTAGCTAGATGAAACGTTGGAATTATCTACATTTCAATCGCTGAGATTATTTCAAATATAATTTTCACTTATAATAAAGCATTACTATGTTGTTTTAAGACTTGGAGATTCGCTTGAAGGAATAATCTCCTTTATTCCAACTCTGAATTGTGTCCACAAATTAAGATGTGTCAATTGTGATGTTTATTATATTGGAGTGTCATCTTTTGAAATCTTGATTCGAGACAAAGAACATCTTAGCTACACAAAGAAGCCACTTAATAGTCTCGTAGAACTAGAAAGACTCCAAATTAAATCGGCAATAGCAGTTCATCCCATTTTTAAAAACCATCAAATCGATATCGAAATAATACAAAAAAACATTTTCCAATTACAAATAAAGGAGAGTAGCCGAAGCTTTTAATATTTCGCTTAATCCGACTGCCTTCAATAGAAAAGAAGGCCTCACTATCCATCCAAATTGGACCATCTATCCAAACTATCATGTCTGATTCTATTCACATTTCATACTATTAGCGTACCCTTTATCACCACAAATGTCACATTTTTTTCATTCCTTACCATACAAACACAAATATATAAACATGCCTCATATAAATCACCTGGACTGGAATGACATGACATTGACTTGGTCAGACCTGTTTTTGATTGATCACAATTTATATTCTTATTTTGTTCCTATGTACTATTTAAACTTGGGTTAATTTTATTTGATTTTTTTATCCTCTGAAAAAGTGGCCTACGCTGAGTCACGAAACGTCAGAAAAAATTCAATTTTTTTTCTCATTGGGATATTACAAGTATATTATTTTTATTTATGACAATCTAACCAATGACCAATTTATTTGAAAATATCAAGTCCATCCTTGGTAATGATACCCGCATATTTTGATTGTGTAATAATCTAAAGTATTTACATAAACTAATGACATTTACTGTATTTGTCATTTTAATTACATTCGCTGAAACCTTGTAACTGTTATTTTCAGTTTTTGTACATTACTCGAACCTATGTTTCGGCAGCTTCCATGTTTATCGGCACTTTGTCTTTGTTCGATTGTTGATAGTCATTATTGACTTAAGATACGGCTATTAATTGTGATTTACATCTTTTTTTCAGATATAAAATCGTTTTAACCCTAATGGATACCTTAGGAGTTGAGGTTTGTAACTAATTTAGATATATTTTGCAATCATAAAACCGTTTTTTTAGATCTTTGTTTTGAACCCCGATTTCACGAGTGGCTCAGCCATGTAATCGAACACTCAAATAGATTTGACACTTATGAAACAAAAAGCGTGCTCAGATAACCTAACTTGGGTGACAGACATCCTTTAGTTCAGTTCAGCTCTATTTACCTGTTCCTGGGTTAGCATTTATATTGACAGGAACAGTATTATCAAAGAGAATCTCCAAAGCACCCAACAGCGCTATAATTTATTATGTTTCCAAAATGACGGAAATCCCGATAATCTATGCTGTCAAATAATGCATATATACTGACATAAATGTAGATTAATTGTTTAAAGCGTAAGTAGGTTACGAATATCATATGAAAATAATACTTAATAGTGAGTGAAAAGATATATTTTCTAAACCTTCCTCTTCAAAATAGTTGTTTGTAATGACATGAGTGGATTGATAATAATAAATTGTTTCCAAATTCGAACATTTCGTTGAAAGTAACGTTTTTATAAAACGTTTTGAGAACTACGTTTTTGATTGGCTGTAGAGGCAAACGGACAAACAACTGACTAACTTTCAAACTTTTAAAAATTATGTTCCCCCTATTCTATGCTCTCCTTTGTTAATATGTACTTTTTCAATGGTCACGATTACTCATGTGTCCCCTTTTTCTTCACCCCTTATTGGTGTGAACCGTTGATGAGGTACTGGACCAAATTATGGAACCAGTGGTAATACCCAAGTATAGTGTTTGTTACGATTCAATTATTATCATTGATATAGTGTGTGTATTTCACATGGGGTAAATATGAACAGAAATATATAAAAAATGTGCAAGAAATAAGCTTACTTTGAAAAAACAGAATCTTAAATATTTTGAACCAAGATGTTGATTAGATGTTGAATAAAACACACTCATTGGAATAGCAGAAACACCCTACAATAAATCAAATAAGATTATGTAACGACGAGATATTGGTTATAGAAATGAAACAGGATAACATACATTTATAGCAATCAGTGATTTATCACGGTTGGATACAGTACAAATCTACATTCGATAAAACTAATTAAGGAATAAAATACAGTTACACAAAAAGAATACTTCATGCAACACCAGCAATCAAACGACTGACTACTTTCAATACGCTAGAAGACGTGTGTGTAGTAGGAAAGAGTGAATTATAAAGGATGAAACAGCTTGGTCTACATTAATATAGAATAGAGGAAATGTAAATGACAGTGGAATCCAAAGAAACTTGTTTCGTCCTATTGGAGATCCATCAGCTGAATATATTTACATCTTAAATTAAATCTTCACTTAGGGACTTGGTTTACTTTAGTTTTAAATGTAGAAATGTCAGTGTCTGTGAACGATCTTGATGCGAACACACAGACTAATAACTACAGTTCATGGTATGAGGAGAACTATTATAATTACAATTACACCTTGTATAAAACTATTATAAATAAACCATATTTCACATTAAATTTAGATAAAAACTAGTGAGATTTGTCAGACATTTTTCGTTAAAGTAGTATAATTAGATTTGTTCACTAATTAATGTATCCTCTCTCCTATAATCATCAAAACTTTTAGTGTTCTGAACTATATGTCACCCATTTTTGGCAAGAAACCTTTCAAGAGAACATTGTATATATTCAGGTAAACATTGACAAGTATTTTCATGTAAATTCTCAGATTTATTCAGTGATAAAAAGCTGAAACATATGGTGTAAATTCACTCAAAGACCCCATATAACTATTGCTGTAATCTCTCATCATAGGGATTCATATAATAATTCGTTTATCATTTTGAATCACTAACATTATATATGGAATTTTGGATATGATGTATCGTATATCTAAGCTCCTTTTCTATGAATTGTTCCACACCATTAAAGATTAATCATTTACTTGTTAGTGTAATAATTCTAACTTAATTGTAATTTACATTATTCTCATTTCCTCGATATTATCTTGAATTTTTATCGCACATTATTGTCCTCAACATAGACGTAAAACAGATGAGAAAACATATACGCTAGTGGATTAAATCTATAATGTTTTAAGTATTTTAATTCAGAGGTAAGAACAACAGGTTATTTCATTATATAGAATGTGAATTTCTACAGAGATTATGTCATCAATTTACCTACCGAGATTTTTGTTTGATAAAAAAATAGTGGGAATATGTTGGAGACTGAAACTTTATCATTATTATTCAGCATAAACTGTACAGTAGTCAATTTCTGTTGTTAAAGAAAGACTTAGAATACATAAATTGGACTTCATATTCCCAAAATTAATATTTGTTTATCAAATAATTTATTCTTGGTAAATAATATCTGAAACGAGTTGAGGATGATACTTAAATGTTACTTAAATAAGTGAGGAATTAGTAATGGCATGGTGTGGAAGTCCAACTCCAACCAATCCAACATAACAAGTGACAATTTCCTCCTGTCTTTGATAGGTGTTTTCTTCACTCTCGATATGACTGAACCTCACTGGTCAGAGTGCAGTCGTGGATATCTACAACTACGGAGTCCTATGCTAGGACGAAACAGATGTCCAGTGCCTCCGGGTTTTCAATGATTTCAATAAAATTTACTACTAGGACCAGCTTCGAATGACAAAAACCAATATAACAGGGGTATATATACATATGTTAGATTGTTGGATACAGTTCGTAAGAAGCTACTAAGTCCCTTATCAACGAACGTTATTTGAAATCTGGAAGGAACTGGTCATCCCAGGAAAGTGTGAACACACATCGTTAAAACCCCATAGTCGAAGATGTTACCATTGAGGTTAGTCGGTAAACGAACGTCATTATCAGATACCAACTAAAGACACTGATTGCTACATATATACTTACTTTATTTTGCATCATCCAATTATTAAATTTGACATCATACGATAATGAGTCATTTTTATCCAATTCATTCGATGGGACATCTGAAAGAAAAGAGTACAAATGTAAAGGAAATAGAACCTGAAATAATTGGACCTTTAATAAGGACATCGTTAAATTAATCCTCGGCATACTAGCATTATTAGAGACAATAAGTGCTGCAGGGAAAATTTTTAAAAATCATGTTAAATATATACAAAACAAGGAATTAGTTAGTTTTATTTTAGGCATATAGGCATGGATACGCCGGTTTATCAGTGACAACGAAGCTCTTAGAACAAATGTGTGTTAGCTCAACTTTCTATACTACAGCAGAATGACAAAACGAAATTAGCACGTGAACGGGTCGAAATAATTATGATAGAAATAATGAGAAAGAATATATAGTGGGAACATGGCCCGAGAAATCACTTCACTAACTAACGATGAGAACTTATATGGATGCTACTGCAGAGGTCAACACCAAGGTGAAACACCTATCCATTGATCTCTAGTTTTCAGTGGTAGTCAAAATGAACCTGATTTGTAGGGAATATCGCCTACCAACAAAAAGTGATATTCACCAAAATCTTAAAAATACGAAACAATCTGGAAATTGAACAAGAATATATAGTGAACAAAAAACCTACTGACATACATTGAACTTACGCAATTTGGAGATATCTGCCACGAGGAAATATCCTCCAGTGGGTCTTACTGCTATCATTCCTATTTCATTCAATTTTTTAACCATATTTCGACCTTTCGGTTCAATCAATGCACACATCTCATTAAAATACGATTCATGTGTATTCAATAATGGTAATTCAATCTCTAAACTTCTTGCAACAGCTTCCTAGAACAGAATTCGAAATAGAATATGAATCAGGTGAAATGAATCACGATTATAAACACCAATCAGTGTAGAGAGTCCGCTCTCACTCACGAAATGCTTACACATGGCCACGTGCATACAACCACAACCAGGGAAGTCCTACTCACTGCCTTCTCGCACCACAGGTGTTGTTTACGAAATTGAGAGGACGAAAAGAGAATATCCGGCGCTTCAACCGGGTTGGTGGATACGGAGGATCCACCTAGAGGATTAAATGAACAATCTATAAAAATCACAAGAGAACTAAACAACTGTTTTGTCTTAGCTTGGAGACTTGCAAGCAGTTCTCGTACCATACAGATAAACATAACAATGAATTGGAAGTGAGATACATACCACTCGTATCAAATAGTGTGTTATGTTTATGAATAAAGACTCTGGCATTCTCGAAAAATATACTGTTGCTTCATTTAACAACCGCAATATAAATTATTTTATTTAATTGACAAAAAATGAAGCCACTACCTCGGAAAAGAAACATAAATCATACTACTAAGTAATGGAAATTGATATTGTAACTAAAATGTGTTTATTACTTGTAAAGGAGTTGGACATGTATACACAGTATTTTGTTGATGCAATTGCATAGCCTGTATTAAATTAGCTGGTCCAATTGTCCAACCTAATTTCCAACCGGTTACACTGAATGTTTTGCCAGCACTTCCAATAGTCAGGGTACGTGACCACATACCAGGCAAAGAGGCTGTGAAAATAAACACAAGTAAGGTTGAATTTATTTCCAAAATAAAACAGGTCGACGTATAAAGTTACACAAAAGATAATTACACCGAATTTGCCTGATATACTTAAAAGCTGACGAGGAGTCACTCAAAATCAACGTTTACAGCGATTAGTGTGAATTTGAAATGGGAAATATTGGTCACCTACCTGATAAGTATGTTTGAAAGATGTCTCCTTCATGTTTTAAAATGACAGGAATTTAAAAAACATGATATATTAAAAAATCTAGAATAATTGCTAACACTGAAGTAGAGGTCATGTTTTTCGTGCCACCTAAAACTCATCAGTTGAATTTACCTTCGTAACAGTGTTGATGTTCGAATCGAGAATCGATCACAATATAGATCACTACAAACACCATAAAGAATTCGCTACTGAAACACTGAAAAACCATACCCACTAGCGTCCACCGAATGCGATGAAACTACTTCCAAGAATACTCTTGATGATAAAATTTCTAAATTCAGACAGTTGTACCGGGGACATAAGTCAAAAGAAACTTAACAAATGCAGCCAACAATACACAGAATTTACAATTGCTGTTTATGCATTCATGATTACAAAAAATCTTGAACTTAAATTAGTTACACAGCGGACGTTCCTAAGCACCCCTTAGATAGTAATTCAAGGTAAACAAGTACAACACTTTATATCCATGAGATATACTCAAGCAAATAACTGTTAATTTTACCCTACGATAAATGATCAGTTAACATTTAGAGTATTTTGGATTAACGATGCTTACAATATATTGGAATAATATATATACATACTTTATTCGGAATAAACAAGTGTACAAAAAGACATTGAAATAATCATTATTTGTACACAACTTCAGCACTTAATAAAACGGAGCATTGGTTAACCACGTACCGATTTTAATATGATGATTAGGCGGAAATACTAACCATTCATAAACTTCATCTGAAATACACACCAAATTATGACGAATGCATACATCCGCGATACTCTCCAATTCTTCTCTATTAAATACCTAAACGTTTGGGAGGAAAAATCATAAAACACTTGAACACAGATTGATCACATTGACTAGTGCTGCTTTTTATAGTTGCTGATCGAATTCATCCGACCAAGTGTGACCTCTAGTCTAATTGAATTAACTTAACCTAAGTCCTAACATCATATAGTTATAGACAATGCACAAGAAGCTGAAGACTTAGACTTCATTCCAGATCGTACAAAATAGCTAATTACATCCAATTTATATAGGGAAAAGATATTTTTTAGTGACCCGGCATCTGTCTCCATTTGAATCCTATGGATGATTGTTATTGAAACATACATATTGCCAGTACTCGCATATAATTATCGACTTAAATCACGTTGTTGAATAACGAAATTAAATAAATCAAACGCGAAAATGGATTTTTGAACACGTATATTTTGTACAACCACTGATTGGAAAGGGAAGCAAAACAAAACTCTACTAAACCAAACGTCAACCGATATTTATAGTCAGACAAAAGTAAGTTACAAACATGTGATGAGGAAGATGAGAAATGCGCACACATACGCTTACACAAAAACAGTCAAGGCTGATAAGCGAATAATTAACAAGGTCAAATGCGACTCAAGAAGAATTAATAAATTGACCTATCCGGAAGCTAGAATAAGGTATGTGGGGTTGACATAGCAACCAACACTACGGTTCCCCCAGAAAGATCTGAAACACAGACACCTGAGCTACTCAAATAGGTCATAAGAGGAATATTTTAAAAGAGAGAAGTGACCAATTATCATGATCGTTTAATTCTTACTTTTAATTGAAAGTAATAAAAACATGTGAACTGAAGAGGTTAACCGACACGTCAATTCAATTCACAAATACTTAGTTTACGTTAAAGTCAAATCAACTACATATTTATTATTGAGAATAGAACAATTACAACTTACTTTACCCAAAGGATTATGTGGTGTGTTTAATAGTAACACTTTAGTTTTTGAAGTAATTTTCGATTCCAATTCTTTGATATCTAATTTCCAACAATCACTGATTAATTCTTCACCATCATCTAATTGCTATATAAATTAATCATACAAGATTACTTGGAAATTAAGAGTGGGTTTTACAGAAGTAAGCAATTGGCAGATTATATAACTATCACCTTTTCTACATAACAGGAAAGTGGTTAAGAGTAAGCCAATGTAGATGTCAGATGAATATATCGTTAACAGTTGATAAAGTAAGTGAAATAACGGAGGAAACGCCACTGGTTCATTAAATTCTGAAAACATTTTATTCGGAAAAGCATGTCGTACTTAAAAGATAATTAAAATGTACAAGTTAGAGTTAGTATGTTGAACTTAGATTTAGAAAAAACTGTAAAATCTAATACCATCTGTCTTAAGTCCTAAACCCTAAATTGCAAAGTGTAGATACTGATTCTGGTATTAAAATCTAAACTATGTTTCCTAATCTTAACTCTACATCTTAAGCACAGCCCAAATCCTAGTCAGTTGAGTCATAAATCCCTTATTTACCTTTTCTGCATTCTGATCGCCTGGATATGTTAACAGCTTGCCAAGGTCATAGAAATGTTTGCTTCGGCTCGCCTTTACAATTCAGCTTTATAAGTTTTTCACTAGCTTCAAAACAATGACATAGTAGTTTTTTGAAAAATGCATCTGTTTCAAAGCAATTCTAATCATTGTATCATGTTTTGAGAGATTCTAGAGTCTTGAGCTCGATTACTCATTTGTTTGCATGTTAACTGAAGAGTCCTTAAGCTATCGTATCTATTGATACCTAATTTTTTAAGATTATTTAACTAGTATCGGCTCGTGATGAATACGAACTTCATATAACACTATATACATGTTTCTGTCATAATCTGCAGTTATTGTGGTAATTTCATGTTAATATCATCTTTCTGCAATCATATGGAATGGACAACTTGTACCGATGTACAGACCTCCCAGATTCTAAGTTGCTTCAAGCAGACTAAAAAAATGTTGAAATTCAGTTTTAAATGTTAGATATATTGAAATGAGTTGACATTGTTATAATTTCGCTGAGTTACTTCTAATTAGTATAGAGGCTAATGGCAGACGTATGTTTCATCCTACTTGGAACTAGTCAGTTTGATATACCTCTATGCCAGGGTTGATGTTCGCTCTGAGACTTATACCCAGCCCCAATAGATTCTAATACAAACGTACAATCGTTCAATTACTATTTCACAGACACTACGTATTATTAGTCTCAAAACTTCGTATATAAATTCGCAGGCAAATTCTCACAGTTTAGTTAAATTTACTTCGACTCGAAAAATAAAAAATCCAAATACGAGTTGGGTTACAATCGATGTTTTAGAGTCAATTGACTCAACAGACCACCAAACGTTGGCAGTCAAACAAGACACAGAAATAGAATGTGTAGAGTGTGCTTTGAACATACCCAACAATGTGTACATGAGTGAGTCATAAATTATTAAGTGACTGAGTTTACAATAAGAGAATAGAAAGATAACTCAGTAAGTTAAATACAAAGCGTTAACCCGACCATCCGAAACTTTTGAGTTCGATCCCTGATGAAATCGTTAATACAGACCTTTAACAAATCCTAAAACTATAACAAAGGAATTGTTTTAGTCCTTATCGATTTTCAATAAGTATTTTCAGTCGATATGATGAAAAGTAATTTTAAGAAAATTAACTTAAATGCTACCGACCGGTCGAAGTGGTACATAAATCGGTACACCACCAGCCATTACTGTCATTGGAGTATAACAGTCAAAACTTGGATCCATAATTATCACTTCATCATCAGGATTAACTAATGCTGAAATAGCCGTAAAAAGCGAACCATAAGCACCAACGGTAATAATAACTTCTTTTAAAGGATCAATTTCTCTGTCTGGTCCAAACGAGTCTACTTGAAGACTCCCAGATTCACCATACAGTTTACGATCACATCTTAAAAAACTTGTATACAGTTTAGATAATACATTTACTAAACGCGGATGACCCTGAAAAAAAGAGAAAAATGCATATTTCAGAAAAAAACTATCAGTGAAGCATAATCGTCAGCGAAATCAACGAATGAAAGGGAAGTAAGATATACAATCAATATGAAGTCGGTCTCAGTAATGCAGTTGCATTCATTTTATTATCTTTTTGAGAATTTAAAGATGCGTTATTCCATACTTCTCATTCACTGATCTCATTTTTTCTCTTGTATAGAATTGAGATGGAGTTGAAATTTACTACTCTTATTTACTTCATAATCAGGTTAATCCACCCCCCCCCAAAGCTCTCATTGTGCTAATGTGAGGTGTAACCACTAAAATCAAAATATATTTGTCAAAGCTCCTACATGAATGATCGCTTACTTCACTGATTAAATAAATACACCATCACGGTGATAAATACATCAAACTGAAACAGTTCACCATAAGTTTTAATCTAACCCGCTTGGTCAATTCAAATCACAATATGAGCACTATGATTGACGAACTCCCTCTAAACATTAGGTTTCATCATTATTATCAATATATTGAACTCTTTATTCCTAAAATTCCACTCACATCTTTTGAACTACGCTTCCCATGTTTATTTTATCAAGACTACTGATATTTTTCTAGTGTCGTCGCTTAGAAAAAATTAAAAGACTGAACAATTAATTCCATAACCACAATCACATTCTCCTTACTGTTCCTTTGTTAAAATGAAGTTTTATTATCTATCAAGTACATGTAAGAACTATTACATAACTCCTCAACAAAGCATATCATGAAGGTAGAAATTGGGAGAACTTTATACGTAATTCAACCATTTCAATTAATGAAGATATATAATCTCCTACTAATCAATACACAAATGAATGCAACTAATAATCAGTCTTAATCAGTCATCAGGCAAACCCCTTCTAAACTCTGTTTATTAATAGCTGTGTTGAATGGTTAAATATGTATAAACTTAAATACGACATCAACAATATGTAATGCGATTCAATTTAAATATTACACAACAGATCGAGGTGTAAAAATACTTCGCAGTAGAACAAAACCTATATCTTTTTTAGGAACTAATTGGTACAAACAGATTGATTATGAAAACATGATCAAAAATCAGCAAATATCGATCCAATAATCAAAACTTACGAATTCAAATTCAGAGTTTCATTAGACTATTAAACACATTTGTCAATGAAGTCATGACATAACAGAAAAAGTATATTTCAGTAATAATTGATTTACTTACCATAGATCTAGTGTATTGATGAAGAAATGGGCTAACATCGGGTTTTCCAAGCATGGTTAAGCTTTCGAGAACATGTTGTTTTGGAAGAATGTCCGGAAAACCCTATAAATTACGATCAAATTATTGCTTCAGAACAGGAATTAGAAACAATTGTTTACGTTATATATATGTATATACCAAGATCACTTAAGGATAAGGGGTATATTCAGTAATAGCATTTCAAAGTTGGTGGTTGGTTGGCTATTAGTTTACTACCACCCATATCATGTTGACCGAAAAGTAACACACAATCGTCTATGAAAGAAGACTAAAACAGTAAAAGGGAGAGGAAGAGACGTAACAGCACTGCTAGAATGTGTACACATTAAGAGTTAAATCTAAACATCACAACATTGAAAATCATTCTAAGAATGTTACATAGCTGGCTTTATCGAAAAATATGTGTATTTCATACAACGATATTAATCATTTGACATATAATAGATGGGATTTGGCTAACAGTGGAATAAAGGATGTGTTTCGTCCAATATTTGACTCGTCAGCTAGATGTACTTGCATCCTGGAGTTGCTGCTAAGTCAGGGACTCGAACCCAGTACCGTTCACTTCGAACGCTATAGCATTATTCACTTGACTACTGAGTTCAGATAGCCACTGACTTACGAAACCCGGTCTCGGAATGAGCACAAACCCTGGGATGCAAGTATATCTACCTGATGAGTCCCGAATAGGACGAAACATGCATTCTGGATTCCACTGTTAGCAAAATTATATTTATCATACATTAAATTGTGCTACAATAGCTAGGTGATTCGCACAGGATGTAAATATTCCAACTCAGACTGATCAAATTACAGTCAAAATATCAACAAGTGGATAATCGAAACCACTTTACATTGAAAGAAATCTGATTAGTTTTATTTTTCAATTAACAGTAGAAGTTACCTGACCTAAATTGACCGGTTTGTATTTAGCCACTGCATGATTAATTTCCACCCTGTTCAAAAGAATAAAAAATCAATACAATTACAATAAACGATTAAAATATAACTTAGATTACAAGCAAATGAAACAATAATGATAGGTACAAAAAAGCAAAGGTTTCATCGTGAATAGATAACTAGAAAAAGATGTACTCTGAAAGTATGAAGTGTAGGAGTGTTGACTTGCAGCAGTGCACTTAGGATCAACTTCTGAGAGTTAGAGTAAAGGCCTACACTGAGAGGTAATGATGGACTAGCATAATACGTTAGATTATAAATAGTAAGATGAAACCACAGCATTACTTCGTGAAATGATTATTAAAACAAATCATATCATGAGCTATAGACGTTCTGGTTAGAGTTCGAAATAATTGTAATCAATGTCTGGAATTCACGGATGGCATGAATTTATATCGACTGTAATACAACAACAGGATTTGTTTCCAAGACGAGTAGTTCATATTTTTCATTTTTAAATTTCATATGTTCCTTCTAAACCAGAATTCCTTTGTTCAGTTTTCGCTATCATTAGAATTAAAATTTAAACTGTATCGTTTATCCTTCTATTGATTTTCCTTTGCTGTTAAGTGGGGATATATGAACTGACAAAAATTTGCACCAAATCATATGTTCTTGATGAATAACTGAGAAGCAGAGACAAGCAGATAGAACGTATAAGTCAATAGAAACATAGACATCTTCTAGACGTATAGCTCCCAACGTATCGTTGGATTCAATGAAAAGAAACGAAACGAAATGAACATCCAAGACACAAGTAGATAAAAAAAATAATAACTATGGTTGAAATAAACCGATAAAACGCGGAATAAATGCAATTGTTTTTACCTTTGAAGCATGCCACCAGCATTAGTTTTCTAAAGACTCCAAATACATCATGCTGACAAGTTACAACTAACACTAAACCTATGTCCAGGATTTTCTCTTTAATATCTCCAACTACTTAATATCTCAACACACTGTGAGCAACCACGAGTCACTAAGATCAGTGCGCACATCGCAAATTTTGGTCGATCGAGTTCACTCAGCATTAAAGATTAGGCAAGCATAACGTTAGTCACTACAAAGTAATCAATTCATATACATCTTAATAGTGAATGCTCAAAGCTTTAAATCCAGGTTCATAAGTTTAAATTAGCTAACAGAGAATACACTTTTGTATTTGCACACTTTTATTGCAATTATCAAAACTCGGTCAAATATTAAGAACATGAACAAGTTGGTGAAAGTTAACGAGTTTCTTTTTAAAGCAAAGAACATTTCAAATGTCCAGTTGAATATATAGATACATACCAAATACTGGGTTTTTGCTTCAAAATACGAGCAGCTGGAAGAATCATAGTAGATCGTGTTTCATTAAGCATATCTGTACAATTCTCTTTAGCTTAATTAGAATAATAAAACAGAAAAGATATGCCATTAATAATATTACACTAATACACATAGATAGTCAATAAATTAGTACATATGATTATTAATAAACAGCTAGACAAACAATAAAGGATCAGGAAAATACTTATACTGAATAATGTTTACAAACATCAGTAATCCAAAAGCCATATTAACTGACCACATATACATGAAAGGATAGGTGTTTACGAATTAAGACTATTATTCATTACCGAGTCAAATTCGTGTTTCGCATAATCTCAGTAGGTTTTTGATCACTGCAACTGTCATTTTGTAGTTGCTCGAGACGAATCTTCGGAAATCAAAATTGTTTACGATAAATAAACCTAAGTTTCTCAGTCGACATATAATTAGTCGTTAACAGGTTTGCTAATTGCATGTTGTTACAAACTTATCAACTTGGATAAACGCGCTGTGATGTTTATGACTTCTCTTATTGAAATTAAAGGTCGATGTTGGTTGATACTAATCACAAGCTACAGCGATTATTTTGCTCAACAGCTGGCAATGAGAGTTGATCAAACTCATATTTTGTAAGAACAGATAACACAGCCATTCAAGCTATTTTACTACGAAAAAATGCAGCCTTCGTTGTTTTTTATACATTCCTTTTAACTTTTCCTATTTCACCCAACTATTCTTTTCTAGACATAGCTCGCTCTTTGTAGCATCGAAAATGCCAAGCATTCTATTAGTTGCCTTGTACCACAGTTCAAATTTATTAATGATAATTTCGGGTGGTGATCCGTCCAATGTCGATTGGCTTTTTACTAATATATCAACAATCGTACAAATTTGTTACAACCAGTTTTCTTCCTTCCACATAGATTATTAAAAAGAGAATAGTATAAGCTTACGAAAATATTAATTTGCTTAATAGACTTGTTAGTTGTGAAAAATAAAACTACACAGTAGACTGAATCATCCATCGTTTTGTGTTTTCTGCAAATTATGAGTGCAACCTTTCTTATATTGATAAACTAAACACGATCTTGAAAGGTGACCTAGTTTCTTTTGAAAATTTTTGTCACGTAACAGGCATCGAGAATTTCAACCAACTGGTTTAAATTAAACAACTCAGAAATAATTTAATATATAAAAGATGAAATGTGGCTATCAGTGCAATCTAGAAAGAGTGTGTCATCCTAGTTGGGAACTGTTAGATCAATGTACCTGCATCTCAAAGTGGAATTCGAGTCCCGGGACATCAACTCTGGGATACAGGTACACTCATTTGACGAGTAAAAAATAAGGTAAAAACGCATCCTGGACCCTATTCCTAGTCACATTGCATCTACTCTATATTAACTTGTGTCACTATAGCTATATCGAGGAAATTCGCACAGAATGCACATATGCCAATTAAGACTGGTCAAATGTCAGTCAAAATATCAACAGGATAATCCAAATCACTTCAAATGTAATCAGAAATAACCGTAGTTACGATCTTAAAATCCGAATCAGAGAGAAGATAGCTGCTTAAGAAAATCAGAAATGTTCTAAAGAACTAAAACATGACTGAAAATCAGTTCGTGCCTAAGTTTTATACAGCTATGCTTCAATATTTCTGAAAGTATAGGCACTACATGGTTGATAAAAATGACAGAACCAACTGATTTAGTTGAAAATTCGAAATTCCATACTGTTGTCCAGTTATTCGTTATGAGTGAGGATCTAACCTTCTATCATTCCATTTAATAGAAATAATTAAATCAAGTTTGAAGCAGGGCAGAGTTTCGTATCAGCCTAGTTCGTTCTTCTGGCTCTAGAAAAGGCGGTAAGGATAAATCGATGGGTAGATGCATTAACTGATAAATCAACAACTTGAGATAATAAAAGCAATTAACATGTCATAATCAACAATAACATTCGTACCTGCCCATTCACTAATGAACAATGCACTTTTTCGATCAAGCAGTCAGTTGGGGGGTTAGTGCGTAGCATACCGTGTATCAGTATCAAATTTCGGATACCGCACGTGCCCTTAGAATTTATCATTAAGGTTAAAGAAAGAAAAACTACAGACGGCGGTTCATATTATAATTTATCATAGTAATTCGATTGTCAATCTCAAAAGTATTACATTCCGAATAATAAAAGAAATAATATGCAGATTATTAAGAAAGAAATGATGACTTTTTGCTCAACATACAAATAAATCGAAGTCTTTCTCGAACACGTTCACAATGTCTAAATGATATTCCTTCATGAAAGCAATAAATAGAATGATTTGTAAATACGATTTAGCGGTACCATAGATGAGTGGAGAATATAACCAATACACACACATATTCACAAACATGTCGAATCAAAACAGTTTGAGCATTGAACAAAACAAGGAAATGGCTGAAATAAATGAAATATTAAAAATAAACAATTCTTTTAGAGTTTTTATTGAAATTTCAAATATTTATTAACCATGAGGTGTGGATTAATACCAGGAATATGACCAACATATACAAACACATTATAAATTCAGTAGAAAATACTATTTACAAAGAAAATGCACGAGAATAATAATAATAATAATAATAATAATAATAAGAGTATATTTAAATTGAGTAGAAAAGCAACTGATAATTATAAACAAAATAGAGTATACAGGATTCTTATTGTCAGTTTACTACTATTACTATTATTACTACTAGATGTTATCATATCGACAATGAAAGCCCAATACTGATTTGTAGAAATACAAATACAAGCGAACAAATGATGGTTCCGTTGATGAGTATACATGGAACAGATAGTTTATTATTGTTACTTGACTCTTTTCATTCTCTTGTGAGATTTTTCTTTCATATGTTTTTTGTGCTTCTTATGAACTGATGATGTTGAAGGTGAACGACTCAAAGAAGATCTGCTACCACTACTATAATGTTTATTTCTTTTAGATTTTCTATGACTGTGATATTCAGATAGACGGGAATTTTTATAATTATTTTTAGACCGAGACGAATGATGATGCCCTATTGGAGAAGAGGACCGTGAATGTGAAGAGATTGAGCTAGAGGATTGTCTTCGCGTTTTACGTCGATCATGATGGTGGTGATGACGATGGGTAAGAGATGAAGAGTCGTTGGAAAGTGATCTAAAATGCAAAAAAGTAAACACAAATTAGAAGTTGAATGAAAAGTGCTTGATATCTCCAGTTAATAATTGGTAACAGCTTGACAATTCACAAAGATACTTAACACTTAATATCATTGAAATTTCACGTCCTCCATTCCACCACGTTTAAATCCACCTAAACAAAAAATTCTCCATAAGTGTCAACAACAAATCAAGTAATTTTGACAGTGTAATAAGAAGACGAAGATTATCAGAACTGTGACATATTAGCGCAATACATTTCGAACAATCTGATCACATATATACTTGTTATATATAAAAATAAAAGGTCAACTAGACTAGAAATGAAGGGCAAGAGGAGATAATGATAATATTAGTTTATTATCCAGAGTGATGAGGCTTCAAGATGTTTTCGCATTATTTCTTTATTATCCTTGTCTCCTCTTACCCTTCATTTCTAGTCTAGTTGACCTTCTATTTTTATATATAAATGTTCTTAACAAGTATATGTGTGATCAAATTGTTAGAAATGTATTGCGCTAATATATAACATAGTTCTGATAATCTTCGTCTTCTTATTACACTGTCGAAACTTATCAAACGGACTAATCCCTAATAGCGTTTCGGCATAAATCTAAATCCTAACCCGTACCATCAACTATAAATCATAATCCTTATTCTTCACACTGCTTTATAACCCTCATTTATCTCTAGTTAGTGGGTGGATATTCTCAAGGTCACTTCGGCACTGCCCAAAGGTCGTCCATAAATTATGGTCTCACCTTGACTTTTTATGGAACATAAATTTACCCTGAAAATCTCGTTGTAGTGAACGAGAACACCAGTGAGGATAGCCAAATGAATTTTAATACGACGTTACAGAATATCTTAGTAAAATCTGAGAACCGTATAGTAAATACTTCATTTGCAAAATATCTATCAACTGTCTCATACTTTGCTATTCGTTCGTTTCCAATCACTCATTGTTCTCGTTCTCTTCCCTTCTATTTTTTCAACCTTATGCCTCCAGGTATTCCACTTTCGACTGGTGATACATACTAGTTATATCTGTCGACATCAGTGGCACATACCACACTGTCTTCTCTACTAGCCATGTGGATTATCAACGTTGAGGCGTTGTTATGTATTAGACATCTGGTTTGTTCGAATTACCATCAGTTGGGTTATATTAGAAGAATATTCAAACTTATGTAAACAGAATTTACCGCCGACCAAATATCGATATTTCACATACAGAATAGATATGTCTGATATAATGATTAGCAAGCATAGAAAGCATAACAGTATTAACACCAATTTTCATAAGCTTAGAACATGATGTATATCGATTCACTTATCAATATTGACCACAAGCAATCAACACGTAAATTAAAATAAATAAGCACCGAATGCACTTTCTTATAGTCACTCTTACCGATAATATTTACAGTGGAAATTAAACGACTATTTATAAAAATTATTTATTGTTGGATTGGGAGTGAGCAATATGGCTATAGCAAATTCCATATTTTGATAATTTTTGAGAAATAAGGAATTTTCAAAAAGCGTTATGATTTCGTGACAAACAAATGTAAAGTTGGACCATATTAACTAGTAATCATTCAAAAATAAGCTTACTTTACTGTAGAAGAACGTCCACGATCACTGTGACCATTATTATCCACCGGACTAATAAGTTGACCTACATGACGCCATAAAGTTTTTTGTAAATCATTACTGGTTTCTCCAGGGTTAAGAAATACATGTAGAAAATTACAATGGAGGTCTCCTTTAGGACATTTACCTCGATGATAAAGACCTGAACAAATAAGTAAAGATAAGACTGATATTTATCACTGAATGAAGACGATAGGTTTTGTTGTTGTGATATAAACGGAGAAATGAAACTATCAAAAGGTGATACTACAATTGTGTTATAAACAACACTTCACGAAACGAATGATTAACACCCCAATATCTGATTGTATACAGATAAAAACTAGGGGAAAATATTGGGCAGATTTCTCTCGATTGATAGTACTAGACATTACACAAACCTAATATGTATGTGTTAACGCAACAGTTGATCCACAGTTACGATCATTACAATTAGTTGCCAACATTTGCTCTTCTTACTCTGAAATGATTATGAAGTATAGAACAACTGGTTGAGCAACAACAAGCATAAAATACACGACTTTGAACTATTTTCAATTATTAAGACCAAATATACGGAGATCTTCAAAAAGAATTTAGTTACACAAGTATTTAATTAATAACGGTGCGAAGTCAATCAGTAGCCATAAAAACAATGTCGGAGGCAGACACCAAAAGAATGAATAGCACTTGGTGACAACTGGAAAGGAGAGCCAAGGATAGAGTAGGCTAGACATCCCTAATTAGAGGCCTATACCCCACGAGGAGTAACAGGCATCAGTAAGCACATATATTACACACTGAAACTATTTACACTGAATAGCCCACCTATTCTGAATACGCTTGGTTTATTTCGTTAATTCCTAATGCATGTGTGTTGTTCTCTAATTAATAGTACGTGTCGTAATTTCGTCTTTTAGAGGACAAACCTCACTTTTGACTGTTTTCCTGAGTGCGTAACCGGTATCTCGACACCACACATTTTGCGGTCAGTTAACTTCACTGGTTGTTCCCTAATAGTACCGTTTCCAAAAAAAAATCCTGTATTTTGATATCGAGAACTTCAAGTATTATTTATCTGCTTGATCATAATCTTGGAAGGAATTCTATACTTAGCATGATAATAAAATAGGTATATGAAAGAATATGGAAAAGGAAACTGTTCAACCCACCACAAATAGCCTCTCTCCAACCACCGCCCAATCTAACCACAGTACACGTTAGTTGACGTCCAGCAAACCAACGACCATTGCAAGCTTCAGCAGCATCCCATGCTGCACTTGGACCCCTTGAGAATTCAACATAAACTGCACCACGAAGATGATCAGCTAAATTGCGACATGTTCGAATCACTGAAATTTTGCCCCATCTAGATTCTAATTCCATACGAACATCATAGTAGAATTCATGATAATCTGAGAGTAACTGACTTTCATCTACTTCAAGAGCAGAATCTGAAATTTTATTATTTAAAAATAAATTAGTCCGTAATGTGCATGAAACCTAAAACCTATAATGCTATTTCTTATTAATGAATGACTAAAATCAGATCTAGTTTTTGGCAGCTTAGTAATCAAAATACTTGACTTTCAATCACAATAGGTTGTAGGTTCGAACCCTTCCTCACCTAATTAGATTTAGACAGTTGAATAATGGTATTAGCCTTTAAACAAACAGTATACCTTAAAGTTGATCATATAAGTCTGTATTCGATAAATGAGTTAAATTATCTCTATTATTCATAAATTCCGCCTAAACACTATATTTGTTAACTAAATTATTTTATCATTAAAATAAAACTATTCGTTGAAAGTACTGACCACTGAAAGAGTATAATCTACCCGGCCTACTTACAAATTACCATTTATTTTGTAAACATTTCACAGAATGCAAACCATTGATGATGCACTACAACATGCTGGATCGTTAATAGTCCTATGCATATTTAACTGTTTATCATATATGGCGTAATCCTAATATAAATTAATATATACAAACAGCAAGATACACTCAATATAGGAATTATGAAGATTGTGGAGTCCTTTTGAGATCACGAATCGACCAAAGTCAAAAAGCTGTTGGAAATATAGAAGTACTAGATAGACCTATCGTCCTCGAACTCCCCAACAATGAGCATCCACGACTCTGTCGTAGAGGACGAAACCAACGACCTTTAGTCTTGTGTGCAAACGAGTAAATCCGACAACATTTTTTAACAAAGAGAAAAATTTGCCTTCAGTAGGCAATAAAATCACAAACCTTGATCCTCTGAACCAGTATTTTTTGTTAAATCTAAATGATAGTGTGTGAACATTTTAGGAATTTGTAAAACTAAACAAGAATTATCTATTGGTTCGTCTAAGCCACCAACATCTTGATCGTCAGCAATATTGAACGATTCAACAGTATCGTCATATGGACTTGGATATTGATGAAGACGAGAACAACTACAATGAATGAGTGAAGAGAGGAAAAAACAAAGTATAACCATCCTTGGCATTGGTTTGTAACAACTTGAATGAGTAATATAAATAAACATAAACGAATAGTAAACAATATGCTCAATATTAGAGGAAAAGAACCAACAAATGTGTTGCAAGAGAGATCGATATTCTGAAGGTGATAGAAAACAAATATTTGATAACATAGTAAATGAAATATGGCTAGCAATACAGTCCAGATTGAGAGTTTCATCCTATCTGGGATTCGACAGTTGGGTGAACATGTGTTGATATTCTGAATGCTAAGAGAACACATAATTTCATTCCTTTATTATCTATCATAATCATTCAAAAAAAGATGTGATGAAGACTATTAACACATTTATTTCAACCCATCTAGTCCAATACGCACTATTTAATCCTTTTCAATAATCTGCCATGTTAACAGTAATCTGTTGAGAACGGATAAACTCTAAATTTAGTAAATAGCAACAGCAAAATCTTAGATAACTTTTTTAAACAAAGTTCTGCAACCAAAAAGAGGCATGTACAAATAATTTCTTTAGGATGGCGAGCCTCTAACATTCATTTAAAATATAACCATCCCTTTTGTAAGAGGACGCCATCACACGCGTAGTGTATACGAGGTATATGCTACTTATGCTTGTCGACATAAGTAGTATATAACACCAACCAGAAGTAGAAGTCCTGGCAACAGTAGGTTGGGAAGATCGAATAAAAAAGAATGGGGACAGAGAGTAATTGTTATGTTAATGAATGATGAAGTTTGAGACATTTGATGCAGGATTTGCAAATGAAGTACTGGACGCATAGTTCTTACATTTTACCAAGAACATTTGGTTGTCCTCATCTGTGTTCTCGCTCATTACATATATATCTTCTTCCCCTTTTGATAAATCAGGATAAGTTGAGTTCACGCTTTATCCAACTCGGTGTAACATTTTATGACGTTTTGTTTTCAGTGTGACATTTTATTCATTATAATATTGGGGTTATATTTTCCAGTATAATATTGCTTCAGGTAGTTATATTTGAAACAGTTAGTTATAAACTCCGTTCAATATGACAGGGGTGAACTTCCGTCTACTGTGACAATTATATTCTGTATCATTCTGGGTGAACGTCGTGCTTTACAACAATCTTTTGCCCCTAAATGCCCTGGTACAGCCGAGAGGGAGAAGAGCCAGCTCTCCCTCTCGAAACGCTCACACATGGCCACGTGCATACAAACACAACCAGGGAAGTCCTACTCACTGCCTTCTCGCACCATAGGTGTTGTTTACGAAATTGAGAGGACGAAAAGAGAATGTCCGGAGCTTCAACCGGGTCGGTGGATTCGGAGGATCCACCTAGGGGAGTTGGAAAACCCTGATTACAAACCAATTGTGTACATGGGCTCCACGATTCTAAGGACACAAATGGCGTATGAACCAATTATTGGTCACCGGCTACCATGGGACTGTATCTTCTTAAGTTGCTCCACTGCCTTGTGGATTAAACCTTAAGGTCGGTTTGGGCACCCGGACAATATTCCAGCCCTCACATAAATCGAATGATTCATGTGGCGCATATGTATTTGGTGCCTCCTTGTACCAATGTTTATGTTTTTAAATAAAATAAAATAAATTTTATTGATATGATGTCCATTAGCTTATCATCAAGCGAGTAAAATCAGAATATAAATGAATGTATTTGGCTTAATGAAGTCATGTTTTCAGAGATTCAATAAATCTTCATTGTACCAGTCCTTTTATTCTTACTTTGCATAGTATGAATTACAGTGGTTTTCTTTTCCAAGAATAAACAGAACCGCGAATACAACAGAAGTGACACGGCGATATCACCTTATGTTTCCTGAACTTGAATTCCCCTGATTTAATTACTCTGTTCTTACACCCTTGAAATAGTTAACTCATTTTATTTTCTATTAGCATGGGGATTTGTGGAGATTGTAGCATTCTTACAGTTGAAATCATGGGTCGATCTCAGATAGACCGTCATTGAAAACCCGGAAGAACTTGACGGCCATTTTGTCTTAGTATGGGACTCCACAGCAGTGCACATTCACAATCCCACACGAGAAACCCGAACACAGAACCTTCGGTTTGGCGCGCGAACGCTTAACCCCTAGACCACTGAGCCGACATCCAGAAGTGTCAATGTCTAACTTTAATCAATCTATAATCTTGCCCAACCCTTCATCCTAATTCATACTACTTCATACATAAGATAATCTCTGATCACAAAATCTGGACTGGTTATCCAATAATATTAATAATCTCCTCACATGACGGCACGTACAACCTGATTCAAGCACATGTTCTCCACTAGTCATTTGAATATTTTAAAAAAAACAATAAAATGTTTATTTTAGTGAAGTAAAAATTCTTATTTAGATATTCGTTTTTCCTAAAAAAAAAAGATGAATAGAGAGAAGCAATGCTTTTTTGCAAATAGTATAGTGATACGTGGTGTCCGAGAGTTGATATTGAAACGCAATCTTCCTATGCAAGAGTCAAATCGGGTAGTCAAATGAAAGGACTGAAAGTGAGAAAGTTTATTGACTAACGCAATCAGTCTTTATATACACGCATATGTGGTCCACCAGCAGTACATTTCATTCCTAGTAAATGTAAGCTGTTTCTTGGACGAAATAACGTACATTTATCATTCGACTGACTACTGACCGACTTAATGCATCGATTAGCCTTTCATTATGGCCATATATAAACGTCTTACAAGCATAACAAAATCAGTATCAACCAAGCGATGATGTGTTCGATAACCATTATTATTAAAAAATCAAAACTATTCATGAAAATGATGATAGTGTACTATGAATAGAGATATACCACGGACTACAAGTCACGCATAAACAGATGTCACTCACAGAAAACCATATCGACATGCTCCTGTTTTACGGAAAAAGCTACATTTTTCCATCACTGTAGAAACAGTGGGACCATATGGCACTTGCTCAATTACTGGAGGGATAGGTACGGGTGGTGGGGGAAGATGCCAAGGTGGAAGGTCTGGAGACTGCTGTTCATGAACATCCTAAGAAACGAAACCAATATTTCTATGAATGCGTAAAAGTTAGGTAATCAACATGATGTATAAACATCTCACACTAAGTATCATGCTTAGATTTGCAAGTACACATCACAATATTGTATGTTTTCATTCATGACGTCTAGTTTATTTCTTCGCTCCCGGTAGCTTATCAACCTCAAACTATTCGTTCAGAAAGACGATATTTGCTAAGGTAATTGTTACAAAATAACTCACAATGTACTATTGTGACTAGTACTAAACGAGAATCTGATGATAAAATAATAAAAATTTTATTTCTGAAATTGTACCAGAAATAAGTAGTGTATAATAGTTATATAACTGTTCATGTTGTGGATTTTCTAGAAATCTTGATCAAACCAAACAAGATTAATTGAAAATATCGTGATGTCATGTTCAGTGCAAATTTAGGAACTAGGATATCTTTACAGGTTATTCTAAAGACGACTACAAGAACAACATAAAAATATTTTGTTATTAACTATGACAACAAAGTAATAATATATCCGTCTGATCAATATAACGAAATATTATCAAAGGATACTTAGAAAAAAGCTTCGTGTTCAACAAAATACAAAGTAACTAATAAGTTCTGTATCGGAATCCACGTACTTTATTTATCAGTGAATATTTAATGATGATAGTAACTCAATGTAACAGTTGGAGCATAGTTGAACTTTACTCCAAACCCCGGGACGTACAGCCTCCAACCAGAACCAGTCGAACCCATTTGGATTACAAATTTTATTATTCGAATTATTAATATGTTTATCCAACAAAACAAATACTTCCCTTTATTCATGACTAAGGTTGTATGTTAAGAAAAGTTTTCGGTAACAAGACAAACACCAAAAGCTATATATATATATTAAAGTATACACGGAAACAACCTTTCTAGCCATTTTTATCACGGGTGCTCACTTTACAACAGTCATCTTATTCCTGAGACCAATAAAAGTGTGTGTCTGCTCTCCTCATTTTAGTACTTGCATTTCAACGTCACGAGTGTTCAGGTGTACGGTTGTCACTAGTAAATTGAATCGGATCCTAACCAGAGAAAGCCTTAAAACACTAAGGTAATTGAGTGTTAAGAAAACTTGTATTAGATAATACTAACTTAAATTCATGTCTCGATTGACAATTTGTTATCGTAAAATAGTTATCACCCAGAAAATAAAATCTTCCCAAACAATAGTCATATCAAGCTTACAGAGTAATATTATGCAATTGTGAAGTGACAGTTGACACTAACATTGGAATTTTCAGAACACATGACTAATTTCTTAATCAGTTGAAGTTTAAAAGCAGAGAAATACGATTTTGTATAAAGGCAATCCACTAACTATCAGTCTTGGATAAATAATATGAACAATTTATGGATAAACGTATTTCAAGTAAAATACACATTGTTAGCACTTTCCATGGAAAATGCAAGTTTCACTAAGTTCATATTTAGAAAAAAAACACCTGCTTGACTGATAAAAATAACAAAGCAATTATGATATTTCATCATCATGAAACAATGAGAGAGGATACGTTAATATTCTTGTGAATAAAAAAGAATGATAACCATAAGAACTCCATGGAAAACCTGTGTTTTTGACTCAGGAATAAATTTCTTGGATTCCATTTGTTTGCTTTCCCACTCTGCTTTAATTTTACGCTAGAAAGAAAAAAAAAGCAATCTACTATATAGCAAACAAATATATTGGTAAACTGATAAATTGACACAATCACATTTTTATTAAAATAATTATTATCAATGCATACTTCGTATTGAAAGGAGTTAACTTTAACTCAAGCATTCGTTTAGTACATATCACTAGATCTCACAGGAAATGTATGGCTAAAACCAAAGTATATTAATTAGATTACCGTTTTCGTCGAACAGCAAATAGGTTGTTAGACGCACTTCTGAGTAGCACACACTAACCAGTACCAACTCTGACGATAAAAGATACAACCAAACTCTATCAAAAATGATCAGCTCTAATAAAAAGAAACGACAGTAATTTACATTTTCTTCAATTGACTAACTATTACTGCATAATGATGTTCGCCAAAATCAGATTATGGGCTCTTGTAGAAGTGGGGACTTGGGAGATTTTTACATAACACACATATATCCCTTTGTTACATGCAAGGGGATCGAGATGAAGAATCGATTTATGATAACTAACAGAAAGCCGAAAACACTGTAACGATTTTTTAACTAACACAACTCATTTCAAGTCGTGATAATCCCAAATAGAAGCAATATGAAATAAATGTACCATGAGGAGCTACTAGTGATGTGCTATATTTTACACAGAACCAAAGAACCGTTCAATAGCAGCACAAATCACACGAAATGAGGTCTTAATAGTAGTAAGTCAGACATAAACAAGGTAATTTCAGGTATTGTTGGAGGGCGGTTGCCAAGTTCCAAGTGCAGTGGAAGTATATTCTTTCTCGAGAAACCTGAAAATGAAACTGGATTAGAAGTGACCACAGAGCACAGTGAGAAACTGCTTGGGGCCGGTCACACATGACCATTTTATGAGTCAGCTCCGTCACTTCAAGAGGTCTTACTTTCGGAGACGGAAATCCGTAGGATAAGGTGGGGTGCAACATTTTCGAGGTTGGCCATTTCTAACCCTTTTTTTCCTTCGTGAGAAGGCAGAATCGCTGCAGATGCTGGGTGTCATACCTCTGTACAATCAGCAATACTACTTTGCCCGTGAATCTTAAGTTTCCGTTTTTACTCTTACCTTCAACTAACCTCCCTGGTATGGAACGGCTTAAAGGAACAATCGTTTCAACCATTATAACTCGATTTGGTCATTACAACGGGCAAACATGGCCATCATGTCACGGTAGCAGCTATGGTCAGGATAATAATAAGCAGCCTCTAAACTACTAAAATTATTAATTACCATACGCTAAATCAATTTACCCAAACTTAACGAGTCGATAAATTACTTTCTGTTCCTGCCTAGAATAATAAGAAACCGTTTATCCACAAAACACCATAATTTCGACTATGAATAATATACGATGAAACATAATTTATTGATTATATTGGAACGATTACAAGTAGTAAAACTTTTTCCAAGGTAACACGATAATCACTCACTTAATATAATAGTTTTCTTGAGAGGATAACTAGATTTGGATCTCCTAGTCACTTACGACGTATTCAACAGATTGCTATAAAAAGTTTTATTTTCAGAATACTGACGGTGAATTGATTAACTACGTTAAAGTCCGCGGTAAAGCTTTCCATAAGAAGTGATAAAAGCGCATAAAATCAGAGACGCCTGAACTGAAAGATTGGTCCGTTCTGAATATGACTTACAAATTTCAGTTAAACTAGTTTGATAAAAATAAGGAATTAAAACTTTTTCCAAAACAAATAGATGCTTTTTAGTGAAGCTACAAGTAATTAAAAGTCCCTGACATACATTTAAAGTTTAACTGGAACGATAGCTCGAGTGGGAAGGCATAACTAAGATCGTTCATGTCCAGTTAAGTAAGAGGGTACAATTAATTTTCATTCTAAACTAATAAAACTGATTTATAACTAACATTTAATGTTAATTACAATGTGGCTAACAAATGTTAGATTACCCTTGTGATAAAAAGTGAAATTCATTAACATACAGATTCATGGATATGTTGTGACCTGGGCTTTAAATACTACTTGGCTGTCTGAATATAATTGAGGTACGGTGCAAATAACAATTTGCTGAAGGTGATTTTAACTCAGCTTACTCCAGCAATAAATGAAAGGTTTAACGACTAACCAATTAGCTTAAAAAAGAAGTCTCACCAACCCCGATGAGCTGATGGCTAACAAAATCTCAGCATGAATACAAAATCCCTGTGGGATTTAGCCATCTGAGACTCCCAACTGGGATAGACGAAATTATAATGTCATTGAAATCATGAACCAATTAATGTTAGACCACCACTAAAACCTGAAAGAACTGGACGGCTGTTTCGTTTTAGTATGGGACTCCTCAGCACTGCGTACCCACGACCCTGCACGCGGAAATCGAACGCAGGACCTCAGATGTTGCATACGGACGCTTAACCTCTAGACTACTGAGCCGCCATTCAAACCAGTTAATGTCTGACTGTGAACAATAGTCTTCTGAGGTGGTCGTACGTACACATAATCATAGGCTACCCAAACGTATAATGTTGACCGACAAAATAGTAGATCGTAAAACTGTAATGGGTGGTGCGAATAAGACACTGACTCATCGACTGACAGACAACTGTGATGTGGTGTGGATGTCTAGGTTAGGATTCACAAGATAATTGTAATCTACAATTGTAAAACTCAGTTAGCATCGCTCAAAACTAACTTCAGCGACATAGGAGTATTCTATTTGTTAACTTCCTTCAAATGCTGAGCATATTATAATCGCAAACTCTTCATTTATTTGTTTTGAGATCTATACCAAAACCTTGTCCAATCGATCTGAAGTATAACACTAGACTAACAATGCAAAACATGGAAATAAAATAATTATGGTCATAATATACATCTAGCCTAACCAAATAAGAGTTGAAATGATGAATACATAAATTTTGAAGGCCAATTTCTTAACATTTTAGCATCTATTATATACATGAACGCTGAAATATATATGTACTTGTATTAAGCTAATTTAACGATTTGAATATATTATGAAAATATAGAAATAAGTCACAATAATGGTAGATTTCAGATATTATATACACTAGCGAGTCATAAAAAAAGAGCCATTAATAAAAGTCGATATGATTATACCTGAGCCTCCTCCTCGCGTTGCTTTAAGAGGATTTTTTGACGATTATTTTCTTCCCACTGACGTTGTGCCTCCCTCTCACGTTCTTGCCAAAGTTCCTCATTACGCTCACTATAAAAAGTTACATTATAGTTCAAATTGTACCGTTCTTTGGCTTCAAGTGCGGCTAACTCCAACTCCTTAGCCTGTTGTGCCTGATAAGATGGAGAAAGTTGGAGCCGACTTAGCTCTGAAATAACGTAAAGAAATAAAATACGTAGTATACCTTCAATCTCCCTCTCGATATTTTCCTTGGCTAATTTTTGACGTTTACGCTTTCTTTTTAACTTCTTAAGAAAAGCACGTCGGGCACGATGTCTGATCATAAGCAAACCAATCATGAATCAAGCACATACGACATGTGAGACAAATCCATTATCCGTTAGACATTCATTATTTGCGATTCATTAGGAACGAACCAAACAATTGGATGAATCTAATTCGGAAACTTGTTAAAAATAGAAATAAATGCGACTATATATATTGTGCGAAGGTTGATAACACTGGCCAGTCAAACAAATGATTGTGAGAAAATTTGGCTTAATGGCTTAGTTTAGTCAGGAAAACTTCATAATAGCAACCTTGCCATTAATAGGCACGTTGATATTTTCTGATCTGAGCTGTCAGAACTGAAATCAATGCATTTTCACCCAAGGGTTCAGATTGTTGTTTCCGGCTACTTTCGACTGAGATTCACTCATTTGATAATTTGTAGCGAATATTCAGACAAAGATGAGGATTGTAGTGTAATAACTAAGATTTGCAGTAATTCATTCATACGTAGTCTTCAGTGTAAACAGCACTAATCACAGTTTGGCAATTAGTGCACAAATGAATCGCCTAGTCATAATGAGCATACGAGTATAGAACAACAGAAAAAAACAATGTTAGTCGTTCATCTGCCAAAAAACGATCATCTCTATTATCTACGGTCTACATTGGTAGTTCTCCATTGAGTTGAAAAAAGGAGTGCATTTTTCCACGTTTTGAGATATTAAACTTTCGTTGCGCTAATCATAACAAAAGCTTAAATTAGAACTTATTTTTACTGCCTTGAGAAATATGTGGGTTTGCGAAATACATTTCTACACCCTGATCACTTCGGTTTTTACTAGTTGACGTCTTTTTTATACATATCTGTCTATTCATAATTACCTAGAGTTAGGTTTGGTAATATTTTCGACAATGTCGACTTAACTGCCGTCTCGGTACATTTCAGGTTACTCTGGTAATGGTAATTATTTTCCACTTTTCGTTATATTTTTCAAACTTTTCCTCGTCTTACCATACCTGTTAAAATGTTTATTCAAAGCTATCGACTATTGTCTCTTCTCTGTTGAAGATGACGTGCAGTAAAATGTCGTAAAAGATGGTCCCATAAAGTCCGTGCCAATCTATCACCGGCCACGTATAAACTTCGCTCAAAACCACTTTCAACCTGGTTGTGAAAAATGATACCTAACTAAGGTGGTTCTCCTGAATGAATTCATGCAACTTCTCATTTTGATGAAATTTCGAAATGACGATGTCTCCTCGAAGAACCTGACGTTGGACGGGGAGACTATGTGGTCGCTAACGTCATCAACCCAGCTCTTACTTTAGATAGAATGGTTGAGACTTCCATTGTCAATACGCTTGAAGAGAAAAAACTGTCCATATTATTGTTACGTATAATCGTAAAACGTCTTGTTTTATCAGAACCAAGAATCTACTATCCATCGAAAATGCACGTACTCTAAACACTTTTAATGAAATGAATGCGAGTGTATGATGTGCAAAGAGCAAAATCCTTGCACGACAAATTAGGTAGCGTAAATGAATGAATTGGACGGAAAGTTAAAACGACGATAACGACTAAAGAAAACATTCCGTTAGTTAGTGAAAAAGGAAAAATAACGACAGCCGAAAGCCATTAACACGACTTTCAAAGAAGTTATATCCGTCACTAGTTAAATTACTTAGAATATGGAGTCAAATGACAATGATTCTGCTATGTGGTATTCAAAAGATCTGTAGTGAAATCTGATAACCAAAATTTACTGCCGAGCCTTTGGGGGTACGTACTCTTTAAGCAACAGAACTCGACAAGTGGGGTGGAGGCGAGACCCGACCGAACAGCATCTTAAAGTTAGTACTCAGAAATAATGAGGAAAGAGACATTATACTAAATAACGACCGACCAATTGTAATTCGAACATCTACGTCCAGTCAGACTACTCACTAAGATTGAATCAAATGGAGGAATGATCTTACTGAGTTAAAATTTCGAACGCCAAACGGTCAAACCAACATTGGAATTTAGAGTTTACGGGTAGTGAAGTCTTAGGAGCTAATGATCTCGAGAGACCCCTCCCCTTAGACACTAAGCTACACAAACGCTCGTCGTCTTGGAAATAAAACGTTCGAGCTAAGTTTGATGGTGGGATAGTTAATTACCAGCACAGATATTGTCACAGAAACATGGCTCATGACAGATGTAGAGTATTCGCAAATTATTGCAGGACAAGTCCGTACAACAAATGGCAGGGTTATAAATCGTAAGAGAGAGGGTACAATATTGTTCTGGAGACTACTTGTCGCGTACAATAAAGTGTAAACCATAGTTCAACTTGGCATGCTGACGACTTTGTTGAAAGTCTCATCTACACATGAAGTAAGGCCGAAATTCGTCTCACCTTCGTGGAATTCGAAGCACCATGCACCAATTGTTTAGAGTTTATAACAGATGGATGTTTAGATGGTAGCCTACTATTAACAAATATTTAATGGTTACTTGCACAATGTATTGCAAAACCGACACATTTCGACTTATAACATGGATCATCATCGTAAAACCTTGTTTTCATACACCATTATGACGACGCTACCAACAATTAGTACCTATATCCACCGACTAGCAGTGATAATCCAGTATTACTTTAGGTTTCGGACACGTAATATATAGCATACACCTGCTCCATACTGTCCCAATATTTGAGAAGCTAACATTCCAGCGGTCAGAGATTACGATGTTGCAAAAATTTTCCTATCAGCGTAAATGAGTTGACTAAAGACGAATGGAGTAAGTTTAAAGCCATGTTTGATGTAGCAACAACCCCGTTCATCCCACATGGGATGAACAAAGCCCTCTATCGTTCGATGGAGAAACCCGAAAGCGAATGAGAGGTAGAGAGTGTTTTTGAGACATTTTCCAGACAACGGGTTATGAAGCATTCAATTGTGAGTACCGAAAGGTCAGAAATATGTGGCTGATTCGCACAACAGCGTGTAAGGTAAGGAAAACTACGGGCGTCCAGCGTCAGAATTTAAGTTTGACGTCTTTTTGACGGCGAAACTTAATCTCACCAAAAACAAGTAACCATACGAAAAACAAACGTCCAATACTTGAAAACTAGTTTAGTTACGCACAATTTTGAAAGTGAAACATGAATTTTTGAGTTCCAATATCCAGTAATTTGTGACAAACCTGTACAAACTAATTGATTATTTTATTCTCAACAATGTTTCATATCTTTGATAATGTTCAATGGACGATAGTATAGCTAATGGACTTCACTAGTTGTGGTTACAGTGTCAGTTATTTATGTTTTTTTATCTTGTAGTCAGCGTGAGTACATATATCTCAGGATAGTAGGGTTACTAGAACCAGTCTCTATTACATTATCAAGTAGGAAGTTGGATAGTTTTATCCGTCCCTATTTAGAGTACGGAAACATAGTATTTCCTCCCTCACTCCAAAAGGATAAGGTCACTCTGTAGCGTATCCAAAGGCGAGCCACGAAATCGACTCGACGACTCAAATTTAAACCTTAAGAAGAGCGCCTCCATTCACTTAAATTTTACCCATTAGAGTATAGACATCTTAGAGGTGACCTTCTGATGGCTTACAGTATCCTTAACACTTCTGGACATCCTCTCGAACACCTACTTAAGCTTAGTTTCAACACTAACCTAAGGGGTAACACCCAAAAACTGGAGACACAACATAGCAGAACGGACTGTAGACACAACTTCTACTCCCTAAGAGTTGTCAAATGCTGGAATTCACTGCCGGCCGAGCTAGTCCAAGCGACTTCCCAGGAGTCCTTTAAGAGGCAACTTGATCTATTCTTAAGGACTAAGGATAGTATCACACTATGACTTACTAATTTCTTTTCCTCTTTTATTGTTAACATACCTAGGTTCCTGCCTGGAGGTCTTGGTGATCCCCTGCTACTAGACACGGAAGTCTGTTAAGCGAAAGCTTCTTCTATTCCGTTCACAACCATTTGAATTTTACAATAATAAACACAAAATTCAAATATGTAAGCGAAGACTGCCATAGATTAAAGCGAAGAGGTTAATTAAATGGTCATTCAGGCAAGATGAGCAGATCGAAGTGTAAGGACCAAAGGGATGACAGAGATTATAATAAGACGGCTGGAAATAGATTTTTGGTATGTCATAAAGACAATAGTAGGTATGTTGCGAGATGTGCACCAGGTACATTTCGTTCAAACGCTAGATAGTAAGTAACTCATTGATGAGTACGTGGTTATCAAATTTGTTCTTGAAGCTATGGACTGAACAGGATATGGTCACTTTGTCAATACGAACATGACATTCTGTGATATCAGCCTTCTGCAATAAGGATAACTGATCGGCTGAATTGTGTTAGCCTTCGGACCATGTTTTGCAGTAAAGATCCACTTTCCTCTTAAAGCTGTTCACTGATAGGTCTGACATTAATCTGCAGAATAACGCTTTCCATTCTTTAGCTTTTTCACGAGAAGAACGAACCCTTACCTTTATTCTGTTCAGACAAGGTGTCTGAAACATTTATATTGACCTCAGAGTTAAATGTGGGATTACATACATATTATATACATTTATTAACGAACTATTTGGTAGCAAGTGAAAGATTAAAAGCCAAGATCACAGACAAAATGAATGTTTCTAATCTTACGCGAACCAAATTATGTGGTGAATCTACAAAGATAGTAACATTACAATTAAGTGAAAACAACTAGTTGTCTTCACACAGAACCCAACACGGGAGATTTTTACAAGCATAAATACGAACATGGGAAAATAATATTACAGTGTCCTCCAAAATTCCTCCACAGAACACGTAAACATTTTATTTGTCATTTATTACGACCAAATTAGTTCACTGATAGAATTCAGTGGACACATCGGGACTCAAAAAGTAGATTTACACTCCATATTACACCAATGTACTACGAAGGAGTCAGGCATACTACAGACTTAAATTCACGTTTATACAAGTCGGAATGTCTTTCAAATTATTATGTTTCTAACTGTAATAAGTTGTGCTGCGGAAAAAACCCACACCCAAAACTATTCATCACCACCATCTATCTACATATTAGTGTTTTCTTCATTTTTTTTTATAAACAAGTAATAATTGACCAATTAACGTTCGTCTGCCTATCGTTTAAGCGTGAAACCCATCTTAAACACCAAGCTGCTTTGCTCAACATGTCTTCAATTATTTTAGCTAAATAAAAACGAACTTCGACTTCGGATATCTAGAAAACAAGATAAAACATAACCGATTGTCGTTTGAAAACGTAAGGTCTTATGTTAGTACTAGCCAGCTTAGCTGAATAAATACAGTGACTTCATTAGCAGCAGATAAAACCCAGAAAACAAAGCAAAATCAGGAAAAACTTTGCTCCAACGTTCAGAGTATTACACTAACTTTTGAATTTTAGCACACTGAAACATCAAATTCCGTAGCTACACAAAAGAAATAGCTGAAAGAAGCACAGAACGAAGAAAGCCGACCGCCATTGCTTACGAAGATGGCGGATGTAATAATTCCCGCCTCATTCTGATTGGTTGCTAAGCTGGAGGGCACATTTACGAAATTGAGTTGCGTTTAATTGCAGCCCTTCATAGTTCATCTATTTATAACATTCGTACTTTACCACATGCTTCCAGGTTCATACTTTTCTTCAGCACGTTATACCAGATCTCATTCCCACAGAAATCGGTCATTTGAACTCTAACAGGCGATTAGCCGTACTAAGCAGGTCGGTTAAAACCACTAATTTATAGACGTATTGCCATCTTATCACATGTACGCTGTGGCTTTTAATCATAGTACTTTATTGAAGTTAACGGTTCGGTTAATGTATATCTGAGTTCGGCTTGGGTTTTAGTTAGAATACCAAGAGCTTAAGATATATCTATTATATGGGTGTTATGATATAAAAAGTGGTTGTCGTTTAATTAGCCTACGAAAGTTCTGAACTAAAATCACTGTCAGTAATCAAACAATCTTTCCAAAGTATATCTTCAAAAACAGCATGTGAATTTTATGAACCATGCCAATGTACTCTACTACTTACCCGAAGATCGGGGTTTTTAAGCAAGGCAATCGTCTATCCCCTTGCTGAGATATTGATCTGTGTTATGACCAACAACAGAATAGACTCCCATTATTCTTAACCCCAATGATACCGATGTGGTTAACCATATCATCAAATGATCTGAGGAACTAACAAAAACGCTTTAATGTTCATATTGTAAGATCCATTTTGAAGGTTTTGTGTGTTGGTGAAAATCCCTCCATGTATATACTTGTACTTTGTTCCTATTGATTCCCTTAGTTGTACATTGTTGTATTTTGATTACATTTGAGTTGTTAATACTTGTATTTTTTATTATAGTTTTTGTTTTTCTTACGCATTCACTAAGTTTGTGTTTCTTCCTGAACTGCATCTGTGTTGTTTTACTTGACACTTGTTCTTGGCGGTAGCCATATTGATTTGTTCCTCCTGTTGTGTGTGATCTATCCAGCCAGGATAGAATAACGTTGATTTGTTGTGATTGGTAATTTTTCCTCATCTTCTATCAACTTCTTTATTATTGTAATTTAGATTTAATTGATTGAACAATCATTGGTTGAATAGCCGGGTGATAATATTTGTTTAGGTAATGATTTACATTAAATTTATTATGAATTATAGAACCGCTAGTTACCCGATTACTTGTTCTGATTTCGACGGGAAAGGGCGCGTGTCTAAAAGTCCCCGGTAGGCTATTCTTCAACATCCAAACCGTAGTTTGGATTCTACAGTTCTAAACAAATATTAATTGGTCGAAGTCGTTTGGCAATCGTTCGCGGATTTGATTATCGTTTCTGGAAGTATTTGGTCGTTTCGTTTATAATGCCAACTAATCGTCTAAGGAAATCAAGTTCAAAGTTCGTTGATGTTAATGAAGAATCCCCTATTACCAAGCAAGTGCCTTTTGATGTCCTTAAGTGTCATGGTTCAGACTCGAATAGGGTTGATTATCATGGTAGTGACTCTAGTCTTAATTCGATGACAGATGACGTAAAAAATCTTAGTTTAAAGGAGAAGCAAAGGCTTGAATTATCAGGAAGAGGCGTTTTGCCTATAGCGCCTGTTGTTGGTCTAGAACTACCAAAGGTTGAATTGAGTTATTTCGATGGACAGCCAAGAGGATACTGGATATTTATAAGGCAATTTGAGACCTATGTAGCGTCAAGAGTCACTGATGATAGCCAACGTTTGCTCTATTTAATGCACTATTGTAAAGGCAAGGCGAAAAGAGCTATTGAGGGTTGTGTCATGATGGACGCATCCTCCGGTTACAGGAGGGCAAGGGAAATCCTTAAACGTTTGTTTGGACAGTCTCATGTAATCGCTCGAGAGACATTAGAAGACTTATTCAATGCTGTGAATTTTGATTATACTGACGGGGAGCAACTATCAAACTTGGCTATTAAAATGGAAAACTGTGCTATGGTCTTGGAACAGATGAATTATACCTCTGATCTAAATTCCTTAGTTACTTTGGAAAGAATAGTGAGACTCTTGCCCCAACCTATGCAAGCCCAGTGGGCGGACTGGGTGGATAAATTGACCGAAGATGATAGAGAGCCGACCTTTGACGAACTCACTCAGTTTATCGCATCGCGTGCGAGAGTGGCTTGTAGTAGATTTGGACGGTTAGCAAATCGTTCACGAAAAAGGCATACACAAACGAAATGTCACGGAGGCTTCATCACTTAAAGATGATTGGAGTAATTTCGCTTATAGAAGCGCTACATAGTATTGTTTCCATTCCCGTTATGGTTGGAGTAAGATTTCAAACACTGAAAGAAATTATAGCTTGTAACTTGTAAATAAATTCTTCAGATATGCGGGTCTTGTTATATATCCTCACATAGCTGATTTGGCAAGTCACAGTCACACCTTTCATGGTAGGCCAAACATTTTTAATTCGGGGGGAATATAATGGTCTAGAGTACTTTTATATTGTAGCTTATAATCGTATACAAAAAAGTCAGTCCCTAACTTTAATCTGAAGTAAACGATAGATAAAGTCAGTATTCGTAACAAATTTCCTTTTTCGAGGCTATCACATATACATTCTGATGATATGATATTGCTACTGTAGTACCGTAAACAATGCTAAACAGTAGTTGAAATTGCCATAGTGTATCTCCAGAAAGGAAGATTATGTTCAGTGAAGAAATTTTATAATAAATAAACTAATGAAGTCACCATAAGACATTAATACAGATATATCTTTGGGATGTAGCTTAGTGATTTTATGTATAATCAGTTGTCTTACGGTGTGAAGTTATGACGTTCAAATAAACCTATTCCTATGATTCCCGTAGGTATAGTCGATAGGCCACTATAATGAATCAGATTGCACATGCATACATAAAATATCTGACTAGAGACGAAAAGTAAAACGGTTGCTCAAAACCACAGATTATCAACACGAAATAAATGATGACCACTCATCGTGAAATACTCACGTTATTACGCTGAAATCATTCTACTGTGTGGTACAGTACTCCTTATACTTAATGCTCGTTTGATTTCATTTATATCAACTTTTTGAAATTCACTCTTCATGAACGCCAAAAATCCTTGTTCCGTATATCAGAGGCCATCCACATCCCGATATTCTGACGAAGTGTAACCAACATCCATAGTCGTCAGGAAGTCTGAATAGCAATAATAACTGCTAAGAAAGACAAAGTAAGAGCTTACATTATGTTGCAGTTCATTTAAAATGACTAAGCATGCTGAATCACGTGTCGAAAAAGATTGCTAACTGATCAAGAATTTGAAGAAAGATAATAAGATGAAATTATAAGTGTTAAAGATAACTGTCAACTTGATGAGTATGGGAAGACGAAGAATAAACTTAAAAAGTGAAGATGATATTAATGAACGATCAAAATAACGATTAAAAATATTCGAAGTAACTATTGGCCGTCAAAATGCCTTATAAAGAAACAACTAAAGAAGATACTATGTTCACAGTGAAAATAACTGTACAAGAGTCTCTAAGACGACGATAGATGAGACAGTTACAACTGTCTGTGCCTGCATTTGTTTCTGTGAATGGGACAAAAAAATCAGGTTGTTTGAGGCGACAAAGTCGTCTAGCTACATCTGAGCTGTTCACTCAGTTCACACCTGATAAGTTGTGCAAATTCGTCTACACAGTCGAATAATTTGTCTTTAAAGATGCGCAAATCGATTACTTATGCACTGCGAAAACGTCGACAATCCACATTATTAGATCCTGAGTGTGAGAAAGTGATTCGCCTGAACATTTATTCTTCTATGGCCCTAACGTTTAATTGCCATAAACGATAATTTGGTTGTTAGTACATCCTTCTGATATTTTGTATCTTTATTTCGGTCATCCATCAATATCATCTTCACTTTTTAAGTTTGTTCTTCGTCTTACCATACTCATCAAGTTGACAATTATCTTTTACACTTATAATTTCATCTCATTATCTTTCTTCAAATTTTGGATCGGTTAACAACTTTTTTGATACATGATACGTTGTAATTTTTCTCCTACTTCCAAGTAATCTATTTTAGTTGTTTGCTAAATATCAGTAAGATCGTTCGACTGCTGTCAATCATTTAACTGACCCAAAGTTTCTCTGCTGAATGGTCTTTTATTCTTTAATCTTGCAACGTGGGTTAACATGTGTAAATAGTGTTGCTTGAGAGTTCGTTTTTGGATAACCATCACAAGTTTAATTCATACAAATAATAAATAACTTCCGACTGGTATGTCACTGATGGGACAACGAGAAATGCGAATCCAATAATTCCATCAGGAGATAGTTCAGACCAATATTCCTGCATAGTTTTGAGCGGCGTAAACGGTGAACACGATACTTTTGTATGCATTAATGAAAGACTGTGGTCAATAAAGCAAAGAAATGAACTATGTAGATATTTGTTTGAAATCAACGGAAGTATCAAGATAATACACAAGTAAAGTCAGTTCATAAATGATGCAGATTGAAAAGCAGATATTTAATGCAATTATGGTTACATGTAAAACGCCAAATAAAGAGTAAGACATAGCATTGTCTTACAGTCACGAAATTTCATCAAATCCATGTACTTATTAATAAAACGTAATCAGCCAAATCATCAGGGGAAGTAATTCCAACTGAACTTCACGAATGTATTTTCCTCGGTAAACATTAAGGAATCATGCTAAACTTGAGATCTTCAACCTACAGTGGTAAATCCTAGTACATAAACATGTCCAGTGTGACCGATCGATTCACGTTGCTAGAATCGGATAACAAGATGAAGGTAGTTGTTAGGTGCGAATAGCATCCCATGTGTGGTTGTGAACAATTTTCACTGAGACAAAGTGTTTTGCAGCATTAGCAATGGATTGTGATTACTCTAATGACCTACTGGTTCAGATTGCCTCCGTTTAACTTGGATGGTCGGATATTATCAGTAGTCATCCGTCGATTAAGTCAACTGACCACTGAACAGAGCAGCGGTAAACAAGTGTGCGGTAGAGCAGTAATTCGAATTGTGTTCTCCTTCGCACACTCACATAAGGATAAAGTTCAATTAAGCCGTGTGACTACAGACTGCATCCCTCAACGTTTCTCTAATAATACGGTTCTGTTTTGTTCTGTAGGTGTTGACGGCTCTAATCGCATTGTAGCTGGCAACCGTAACAACAATGATAAATTCAACCTCGAGAATGACGGAAATTTCGATGCTTCAGACTCACAACTGGTACGTCATAAGCACAATCTCAATCTTCCGAATATCATAGCTGAGCGTGTTTTCGAAATGAGAAGCATAGATGGTGGGCGATACTGATATCCAGCAGTTCGTTACCCAGAAACTGGACGGTACTATTTATGAAAATGTGAACCAAGATATCTGTGTTTCACTGGGAACACTTCTCATATCTGATTATCTCCGATTACTTCATATCATCGCGATATACATACATGATATCATAACCATTGACACTCTTCTACTCATTTGTCTGACCATTAAATATACTTGATCCCAGGTTTTCTCCGGCAACATGTCTCCCGATGTCATGTTCATTAGATAACACCTAAACAACATCGTGCACATTGACCGGATGTTCCACATACTACTAATTTCCTCATATTCGCTGTCGTGTTCTATAGAGATTGCATACATGTTGTTAGCTTCGGACATTCTCGTCATCATGTTGATGTCGTCAGTGTTGGTGCGTTTTCCGGATTGCAATTGTCTAACAGTGGTTCAAACTGCGACTAGTTGGGTATTTTTGTGAGTGAGCGATCACATTTGATGAGATGTCAGTAAGGTGTATTGATGGAAGTGCTGTAGAATATGACCGTTCGTGACTGCAGTTATTCATATGATGAGTGATGCTTGGATCGCTGTCATCTGTCGACAACAGATTGAAAAATCAGTTGTTCAGTTAATACGTCATGAATATTGTAGGTGTGGAATGGTGTTATCACACTCGCCACTTCCACCCATCTTATGCATAGTTGTCATCAAACAATCAGTCTTACAATCGTTGTTTCAATCAGTTGTTTCTAGTAGCAGTATACTAACCTCATCATTACGGACACTGATTTATTTGTGCGAATTAGGCTTTTCCTAATGAACATTCCTTCATGAATATAGGCTACTCTACCTCTCGTGTTTTCTTTTACTTGCTCCCTCTTTCAGCCCCCTTGAGATATGGAACGGGTGACTTCATCCTGCACCATCCTTAAAGCCTTAGATATTCCAAAGGGACATAAGGTCGCGATTTCTAGAAGCTCCCACCTTCAATGGACCTATCCTTGACCATCAGTTGCACATTCGCAACGCGAATTTCATGAAGCGCGCCAACGGTGATACTGACTAAAAACATCTACATTCATATCTTTCAAATTATCAACCCAGCTGAGTAATTTTCTACAGTGGGTATTGTATCTTTTGTAAAAATTTGGTCTTGCCTGTAAACTGGCATACCTCATGTAACAAACTGTTATTTGAGAATAAATTATTATTATTACTACTAACCTGAGCATTTCAAGTCAAAGTAAGTGTTACTAGAAAGATGAAATATAAATGCTTTGCTTAGGCTGTGTTTATGTGATGGCAAGTTAAATCTTCCCTATGGTCACTGGACAAATCAAATCGAAGCCAAATGAACACTTCCTTTCTCTGGACTTGATGTTCAATCACTTCGATAATCAAATCCCAATTACTAATGAAGTTTGAATTGTTTATATTATCTTTGTACATTGTGCGCTGCTTTGATCTTAGTTATCAACCGTTGTCCAGTAGTTTCATTACATTTCTGTCGAGTTATTGCATTCAAGTGACCTGTGTAAGGTTTTCTCACTATCCGGTATACAAATAACACAAGTGATAGGACTTGTCTCTTAAACATTTTCTGATTATTGATGTTGGAACGCTGAATTTCCAACTTATATTCCAACCTTACCACAACACCTTTCTCTCTGTTTATCTTTATAGGAAAAGTGACATTACGTTTCAATCACAAAGTATTACTTTACCGTACGCTGCAAGATCAATCCTAAATGACCACTGTACTTCTCATTCAGCAAGATATTGAGACAAATGCTAATATCGATTTCTTCTATTAACAGTTAATGAAAGTTTTATGAGTTAAGTCTATCCTCGACATTTACTGTACGTGAAGTTGATACTTACTTTGAATGGAGATCCATCGAGGCCCCTAATGGACTGACTAGTTCACTTTTAGGGTGTGAACATTCAGTTGATGAATAGGGTTTCATGAATAATCTGTGGTCTGATTCGTCTCCGTTTGAAACGAAGGATAGTGGGTTTCTCATAGAAAGTTTTGACAACACAATTTAAATATCTTCTCCAGATAAAACTACGTATTAGATTTTAGTGTTGGCTCACGTATTGGGCGATATTTTGTTGTTGCTATTCAATTTTTACCATCATTTTGTCATGTTGACGTCGTGTGGGTCTCAGACCAATAATAATAGTAATATGTCCTTAAATAACAACATGTTACATGAGGTAATTCAGATTACAGGTGAGATCAAATTGTTACAGATGATACAGACTTAACAATAATAAGTTACTCACTTAGGTTGATATGTAATAAGGCACATGAGTCATAGAATCCAGAGGTCAACACTTCCCACATATGAATACAAATAACGTTATTGAGACTCGAGTTGTCGATACAAGAGTTGGTGCGCTTTACAGAGGTTACGTTCCGACGTGCAACTGATGCTAGAGAAAGTATAAACGTAAATTTGAGAGCTTCTGGGAAACGCAGATTTGTATCACTCTGGAATAATTGAGTTCTTAGTGATGTTGTTAATTGCTATCTTCTTGTTCTTCTCTTGTCCCAGGGTTTCGTTGAAGTTCCATTCCTTATGGTGATGCTACTTGCAGCTCATCACCTGACACGTTGATGTTAGTGCTTCCTTAATCCCTTTCCAGTTGTCCTCCATAGTAGAATGTCGATCAGCAAGCGTGTCTCCAGTATGCGTATGGCGGACAGCTGACAGATGCATTCCCGGTGAGGGCCGGAGTCAGACAAGTCTACTCACCCTCCCACATTCCCTCACACGCGAGCAAGCGCTGACTTGGAATCCTGAAGGGAACTGGAAGAGGAGAAGACCAAATAACACACTGAACCTAAAATTGGAAGCAGATGTGAAAAAGACGACCAGCAACTCGAAACAACTGGGACAGAGTTTGATGGAGAATGTTGGTGAGTGGCCTATGCTCCTCCACGTGGGGGATAGCTGGCGTAAGTAACTCTGAATGCCAGTGTCAATATAAAGCCAATTCTAATTCCGGTTTTATCCTAATACCAATATCACTTCAGTTCAGTGGTGTTGACTCAATCCTTTTATATTTTGATTGTTTAATAATCCTGTGTAGTAGTTACTCCAACTACTCGAATATATATCCAGGAGCATTCGTGTCCAACTTTTTACTAATTTCGTTTGTCCTCTATTATTAAGCACTACGTTAATGAATATAACAGCAACCCGTGTTAATAACATACATTCACGAAGAGACTTATTCACCAGCTTTGACTAGAGTGAAGGATACAGACACCAACATGGTAAAGTTTATCGTAGCAGCCCTTAGATGATTAACAATATCCACTGAGAACAGCATAAATCCAGTAGCACAGTTATTCTAGATTTATAACTGCAATATTATATTCGGTAAATTCATGACGCTTCGTTTTAACTTGGACTACACTGTTTACATGTAAATAATAAAACGCACGCTTTTGAATTTTTTTGACACTACCTGCTTGTCCGAAAATATGGAATTCTTTTGTAGTAGTGTCAATAATGGAACCGTAATATGTTTCTCAAGTAATATACTTCAGTTTTACGACATTTTATATGTAGGGTTGTGCCAGTGAATTTGTTACAAACACCGTCTGCAATTTCTTTAGTAATTAGAATTGCTAACTATAACAATATATTGATACAGTGTATTATAGCTTTACAGAACAATTCATAAATATACGCATAGGTGACACACATATATGTAGACTGAATTCTTGGTGAAAAATCTAAATATACTGTGATGTTAACAGTTATGATACGTGTCTTCAGTCTTCAGTCTTCAGTAATAAGGATAGTATGTTGGTGAACCTATATTAATCCTGACACATTGCTTTCCAGTGAAGGTCCAGCTTGTCTTTGAAAGTATCCACTGATGGGGCTGATACCACTTGTTCGGGTAAGGCGTTCCAATGATTGACTACTTGATGAGAAAAACGGAACCCCACTTTAAGTTTATTAGATCGTGGTTTATGAACCTTCTTTCTATGACCTAGGAGATTATTAGTGCTGGAAAGAGCAGAAAGATAAGACATATTAACACCCGAATCATAATTAAAGATACGAAATGCCACTATAAGGTCACCTCATTTTCTACGATACGACAAGGGGAAAAGGCTTAGGCGTTTTAAACGCTCATCGTAAGGGAGTCTAGAAAGACCCTTAGCTAATTTCGTTCCCACACGCTGGACACGCTCAAGGGAGTTAGTATCCTTTACTAGACACGGGCTAGCTGCTTGGATGCACTACTCTAAATGTGGTCTTACATATATGGGATGTAAAATTCGAAGCGTTTCCTCGTCAAAAGATTTGGACGCTCGGCCAAGTGACCATAACGCACGAAGACCTTTGACAGCGGCCGCTTTGCAATGCGTAGTTGTTTTTAAATCATGACTTAATACTACTCCTAAGTCTTTATGCCCTTGAACGCATGGAAGAGGTTTACCCTCAATAGTATAACGGTAACTATTACCGTGACCGATGTGCATTAGCACACTTTTCCTAGCATTGATTTCTAAGCCTCACTCTCGAGCCCATATAACTAAATCGTCTTAGTCAGCTTGAAGATCCAGATGATCAGTAGCACTTTTTATTGTTCTCCAGATTTTGACATCATCCGCAAACAATAATGTCGACGACCTAAGTAACAGCGGTAACTCGTTAACGTAGAGAAGGAAGAGCAGAGGGCCTAAGATGGTGCCTTGGGGTGCACCACTTTTGACCGGCTTCCAATCGGATAGCGTTCCGTTGACCCTCACCTCTGTCTGCGGTCACATAAGAAGTTTCCTATCCACTCATGTACAGTACCTATTATTCCGAAGCTAGTGAGCTTCTGCATAAGATCTGAGTGTGAAACCTTGTCAAATGCTTTGCTAAAATCTATGAATATCACATCGACAGACAGACCGTTATCTAGGGCTGCTGTTCAATCCTCTCTCGCAATAAGGAAGTTAGTCAAGCATGAACGCTTGTTAGACTAACAGGCCGGTTGTTAGATACTATCTGTCTCTGACCGTCCTTCAATATAGGACTGACTATGGCGTCCTTCCAATCTCTAGGGAGTTGAGCGAGTGAAAGAGACATGTTAAAGAGTGTCGCGAGCGGTTTTGAAATAATGTCCGCAAGAGATGATAGCAACCGTGGATGTAACCCGTCAGGGCCCAGTATCTTACCAGGTTTGAGGTTAGTTATCAACGGTAGGACAGTTTCCTCAGTCACCTGTACAGATTCAATGGTTGGTATCTCGGTGTGAGTGGGACAAGTATTTTTTACAATAAACGTAGAGTAGACTTCGCTAAAATAGTTTGAAAAAGTCTCAGCTTTTTCTCGATCTGATTAAGCTAGTATATCTGAATTTTCGTGTAACAGTAACCGGGGAATACCACCACTACGTTTCATTCGCCGTTTAACATACGAAAACGATCGTTTCGGACAAGTACGGCTATCATATACTAACTCGTTCGTAAGTGGTACGGGATTTGGCTATGGTTTTCTTACAGATATTACGGAAGTTTTGGTACTCACGCTTAAATGGTGCATGACCTGTCAACAAGAATAAGCCCCAGAAATGTTTCCTACGCTTTGACAGCTTCCGGGTTTCCTTATTAATCCATGGGGGGACATGTGGTAGCTTACGTGCTGACCATGGGATAAACGGCGACGTTACGGACTCGAATGTAGCCTTAAACTTATTCCATTCATCTTCGATCAATCCATCCGCGTCGACCGACCAATCAGTCGAGATAGGACAGTTTCTGATTGCCAGAATATTGGCTCGCCAGATATTGGGACGAGGTGGATCAGATACGAATTGTATACCATGTGTCCTAAACTTAAGGTGAAGTACGAACTGATCACTGTTCACTAGTGGGGGAAGGTGCTGAATATCAAAGACATCCTCACAGTGGTGGGTGAGGGTGAGGTCCAGCAGTGACGGATCATGATTGAAACCAATATGTGTCGGTTTTGTGATAAATTGTACAAGTGCACACTGAATAACGGTAGATAAAAGGTCTCTATCGAAACCACTACCTGGAGCTGTAAGCTCTATCCAGTTGATATGCGGTGCGTTGAAGTCCCCAATGATGAGACAACATTCTGCCATACTCCAAGAACAAATGTGTCTTAGGACAAAGTCGTCAACAAGACAAGACGGACTACGGTATATTCCCCCTATAGTCACTAACCCATTTCTAGATTTAATCTTACAACGTGCTACCTCACATGCGCCACTGATATGAGCCTCCGATATGGTTGATTGTATACGAAAGTGATCCCTAACGTATAATATTATATCTCCCCCTTTGCAACTTGAAAATCTATCACTTCTAATACAGATATAGCCTGCAATGAAAGGAAAACAGTCTATATCTAGGGTGAACCAAGTTTCTGTAACAACAATTATATCGGGACATAATTCTTCCACCATCAGACTTAGCTCGGACGTTTTATTTCTAAGACTACGAGCGTTCGTGTAGCACACACTTAAGGTTTCTCGTATGTATGCCGGGCCCAATGTTTGTTCATAATATTTAGCTATCGTGGCCCCTTCTAACATGTTTGCGGTTACTGACAGTGCGAAGAAGCACAGTCGTCGTCATCGCTCAGGGATAGTTGACCTTTTTGTGACTCGTCATTATTGAGTTTCAAGACACCTGAAGTTATTTTCTGTCGCTGAAGTAATATATCTATAATCTGTTTGCTGATTTCCATTCGTTGATAATACTATGGTCATAACTAAAGTATTTGACTTATTCATTTCTGACTAGTCATCTGAATAGATATTTTCCCACACAGTTATGTAAACATAGCTGACTATCGTTTTCTTAATAACATAAAGAGAAATGAGAGCGAACAGACAAAGTAAATAAAACTACGAATAGTTAAATAAAGTCCTAAATAGATGGCCACTCATTCTCTGTCTTAATAATCAAATATGTAGTCTATTTGAGTCTCACTAGAGACCTACTGAGCTTACTAAAGTGGCGTTACGGTGGTGATAAAAAAGTGATGCTATAGACCGGAATGTTTCTCATGATTATCCAAACTTTAGGAACTCTCAGTGACTTCAAAATTCATCTCTAAATTGACATGAATGTATGAACAGGGCATCATCTAAGATGTTTCAGAAACATAATCAAATCTTAAAACCTAAGCCATGAAAGTGCGGCGTAAGAATTTAAAGGCTAATCCTTTACTTTGCTTATGTGTTTGATGTTGGAATTAGACTACTAATCTGCTGTTCTCCAGTTAGTTTGGGATTAATATGTCAGTTGATATAGGGTAATCTTCTATAGCTTGTGTTTTAAAAACTGCTCAGATCTCCTCTATAGAAGATTAGAAGTATTTTCGATCTCCAACAGTAAATAGATTTACTTTTTGGATTTTGAGCCGATTACCACATTTCTGGTCGGCTGTTCATAAAATAAACAAGACAGATGTAGGAACTTGAGCTAACACAAATTTCTGCCATGCTATATGTTGCTCATAATTGACTATATTGATAGAGACAAATAACAGTTTGGTGAGAGAATTTACAAAAAAGACATAATGTGAAGAATGTTTGTTTCCGACGGATCATAAATATCTGTGGTGGATACAGTAATGTTTTGCCAATTATTAACATCCATAAAAAACCCCAAAACCAAACTTTAAGTATAAATTTTACTAAATAATAATACTGTAGCGGTAAATAAATCCCCAAAATAAATAGCCCTGTAAGTTTTCGACATTGGATGCTGACCGTATGTTTTAGTGGTCTCATCTAGCTGAAGGCGCTCGGTCAGGCATCCGCACCAGATCACGTGTGGTAACGCCGTGCTCATTATCTACCTTAATCGCTAGCCAGATTAGATAAGAGAATTCCGATATATTGGTTATCGCCAAATACACTCTTCCGATCTCCTCGACTCTGTCTTTTGATTTCTCTCGGTGGGTACAAATTATATTAGAAGGTGTTGCTGGTAAAAGCGTTGTCAAACACTGAATACCTGCGTCATCTTCAATACATTAATACAGACCGCTTCGAATAAGTCAACACCAAATATAACTACTACATCTAAAACCTTACGTTTCACTGAACCTTTGAACATCGAAATAAAACAATTGGTCTACGACTGGCGAGAACTGATACCTACAAAAAACCTTTTTTTGTATAGATCATTAGCTAATACAAAATTACAGTGAAAAATTAAATAATTTTCTTGACTTACCTCACTCGTGGTGTATGTGAGATGGATATCCATCTACTAACCAATAGAGAAGTATACTTCACAGAGCTCTCACTCTGCATTACTTCGTAATCGTCAAAAAAGGCATTTGGAACTAGAGGACGCGGGTTAACTGCAATTTTTTAGTGTAGGTGTCTGCGTAATATTGCTTTCGTATCATAGAACAACTGAGTGAACAGTCCTGAAATCATACATAGGATATTAGACAAAGATAAAAGTGTCCGTTGACAAGACAGTGAGTCCTTGTCAGCTTAGATCGCCGGGACATATATTACATATTCTAAACCACCGCTAACCTCGACGTTTGATGGTTGCCAGCGGCATAGTAGGTTTGAAGAATAGTATTGCAGGCTAAGTCGAGACACGGCATCTGGCTACGAAGTTACTAATTGTTGGTCCTATCCATGTCGGCAGACGATAGCTTCTTGGTTTGGGTCTTCGGAATCAATCGTTGATCTAACGTTCAAATTCAGAGAGTTATCGAATGTTCCCATCTCAAAGATACATAGTTATATGGAGCACACCTCAAAGTTGTATATTTAGGAACACAACGATTGGCACGTGTTGCTTTTTTCCATTACGTGAAGTTTGATCACGTGTACATAAGTTTAGACTACGCTTTTGTTTTGTGGAGCCATTATTAACAGCACTAATGCAAATCACTTTATATACAGATATCCAGTCGGTCAGTTGCACAGTACTGAGATAATACCATTTTACTCAAGGTGGATATATATATATATCATATTAATGAGTGTCTTTTTTTCAAGCAAACCACATTATATATCTCAGTTTAAGACCCCAAATGCCCTCCCTCTCTAAATTCTCTCGCAAGGCCACGCGTATACAGCCTCTGTCAGGGAAGTCCTACTCACTGCCTTCTCGGGATGTGGCCCTCTAAGAAAACCATCTGCTTCGGTCTGAGCACCCGGGCAGTATCCCAGCCCTCACACAAATCGAATGATTTATGTGGCGCATACGTATTTAGTGCCTCCTTGTACCAATGTTTGTATGTTTAAATAAATAAATAATAAATTTCTTAATAATTGCTCACGAACACTACGTATTAATATTCATCAATAGTTGGAAGAGCGACTTCATTACGAATTTGATGATGTGTAAATCAGCTCAAAGAATACTAGAAAAGGATATTAGTCACTGTTTGGCAACTGTTTATGAACTATTTCAACCTTCATTTCATCCGGTAGTAATTGGATTCACCTCTGCTTTCTTCGTTCGACTAATTCTATGAACTGGATATGAACACCTTGACATTTTTTGAAAATATTCGTTAAATCATTAACATCTACTTAAATATTGATAAGTAATTTATGTCAAAATGGAAAACAAATTCCAGATTCAGATTTGTGTCATGGAGACAGTTTGCCTGTGTTAGTCTTTTCTTAGTAAGGTTCTATGAATGTGTAGTTTTCTCCCAAAATAGTCATTTGAAGTCACAGACACCACTTCTTCTGACGGTAGTTTCCAAGAGTTGCTTATACAAGGATCGGCTACACAAATTAGTATAATTTTTTCACTAAACAATTCATTTGATTTCGTGTCATAACGTATAAATCAAATTATCAATTAGCACAATACTTCCGTTTGATGGTTTAAATATCAAGTATTTTTTCAGGAAACATTGGTAGGTTTAGATTAAAATCAATGTGTATAAGGTTCACAGTTTTTTATACAGGAAATACTTTTCTCTCCAAGTGCCACTTTGATTATTCTACTCTTCCTTTTCTGTAAAGTAAACTTTACCATTAGAGTGGCAATAATAATACACTAATAGTATGTTCATAGATGATGAGAATACTTTTGAGATGAATTCCTAAGGTTTTTGAATTGGACTAATGAAATTCAGTCAGATCGAAGAGGAAATAACTTTTTATCAGTATTAGTTGAATGATGGTTAAGCAATATATTGAATTGAATTATGTAAAAAAATTTAGAGTATTAGGCTTAGATTTAATTAATTAAAGATATTTTTCAATTTCGCGCGTACCGATTGTTTTCAGTTTGACCCATTATGTGACCACGTCTACGTACTGATGAATAGTTTCAAACTAGTACAACTCTCCGATTCCTTTAAGCTTTTTAAGAGTTCACTTAACATAAATATTTGATGAAAATCAAGTACCAAAATATCTTTCTATGTTAATAATCCACAATCAACCTACTTAAATGGATGAAAACAGACATTTTCGATTTATGTATAATAAACAATTTATATACGCTAAGGATTTTGATATTTAAATATTTTCATTACTGAATTTATATAAATAATATGAATGTTTATTTTAAAATTTCATTGTAAAATAATTATTCAAGTCCCTTAATGAAAAGAAATTATTATGGTGAGACAAACTATTCAAATTTATCTTCGTCTTCGTCCATCTCCTTATCAAAAACAAATATCAGTAAGTTAAATAATGTAATATATATTTAAATTTTCCACTTTAGAAATACAACATTGATGATTTAACACATCATCATCATCAACAACAACATCAAGGACAACTTCAACAGTCTAAAAGACCTAAAATCACTTTTGAATGTACTCGAAATACTCAACAAGATGAAGTTATATGTAATCGAAAAGAATTTTATAATTTTCAATTTGATGCCATATTTGATACAAAAGTTGGACAAGATCAAGTGTTCAATGATGTTGCTAAGTCAGTTATAGACAAGTAGGTGGAATAGTATCTTTAAGTCAAATAGTTCAGTTTACTGTGACTATTCCAATATTTTGAATATATTTCTTCCTAATTTGTCATTAATGATATGACTCAAAGGAAATGTACAACAATTGTAAGACATCGCCATTAGGAACACACGAACTGACAATAGATACAATTGTTTTGGTCTAGTACTTTATCATCTTTCTGAGCTGAACCGATTCAAATTAGTTTTATTGGTAATCTAGAAGAGCTTAACTACGGTTTAATCCCAGTACAGGATTCCCTGATATTGAACATCCACGACTTCTCCATACGAGATTTCAACCAACCCTTCAGTTTCGCGCGAAAGCTCCTGATCTCTAAACCACTGAGCTGCAGTGCATTGGCACCCAAATATAATGTTCATGAATCTATGACATTGCCCAAACACCTTCCATTGTCTTCGGTGGGTACTTTCCTAACACTTGACACGGTGAAAATCATTTCCAATAAGTTATCCATCACAAAAATATTTAGTGTTAAAAAACCCAAAAAAACCTACTAAAACTAATATTCGTAGCTTAAGGTTTGAGGGATCAGAATGAGAGATAATATTTTCGGTTCACATATGATTGATAAGCATTCTAGAGTTCCTTCTGGCGACCCCTGACGATTCAATATCCAATATTCATTAAGATGAATACATATGATTGTAATTCAACTAATTAGTCATTCAGTCAGTCATAAACAAAGTAAGATCTACCAAGAACATTCATCATTACAAGTCACTACACTCTATATCAGCATGTCGAGAGGACAACAATGACGTAAGAAATAAAGGAGTCAAAATAACAATAGTATCAATTATGACGAAATTCATTGATATCTTAGCTTAGTATTGATAGTTTATGTAAATTTCTGTGACCATGTTAAAATAATCGTTTTATTTCTGTCTATTTCTAAAGATGAGCTCGTTCTTCGCATAAAAACGTCGATATTTATCACTACGTAATCCAATCACAACTCCACCTGTAGCTCTTATAGGGTTGCTGCCGGTCCCAAGCCCGGGTAAAGGAGGAGGGTTGGGCATGGGGTTAGCGTCCCCATCCCGTAGAAAACTAACTCGCTAAAAAAACGCTTACCAGAAAAAATAATCCAAACCATTTTAACTCTGCCCTGGGAGTTAGGTCTTCATTTAGAAGAATTATGACGCTTCATGGTGAAAGCCGAGTTCCTTCGGAAGCCACGAGGCCGATGCCCCTTCTAACAACCAGAGCAAAAATTTTTATAGGTACATGGAACGTTCGAACAATGTGGGAAACCGGGCAGACCAGTCAAATATCAATGGAAATGAGGAGATACAACTTAGCAGTACTGGGAATCAGCGAAACCCACTGGACCCAAGCTGGACAGAAAAGGCTAGCTACGGGAGAGATGCTGCTATACTCCGGTCACGAAGATGAAAATGCTCCACACACTCAGGGAGTCGCTCTTATGCTGTCCAAAGTAGCACGAAATGCACTTGTAGGATGGGAATCTCACGGATCCAGAATCATCAAAGCATCATTCAAAACAAAGAAGGAGGGGGTCTTAATGAATATTATCCAATGTTATGCACCCACCAATGATAGCAACGACGAAATTAAAGATCAGTTCTACGAGCGGCTGCAGTCAATCATTGAGAAATGCACAAGAAAGGACCTAACTATTATGATGGGAGATCTAAATGCCAAAGTCGGAATAGACAACACTGGATATGAAGATATTATGGGACGACATGGACTGGGAGAAGGAAACGAAAATGGAGAAAGATTTGCAAATCTATGTGCATTCAACAAATTGGTCATAGGAGGCACAATATTTCCACACAAGCGTATACACAAGGCTACATGGATCTCACCAGACCACACTACAGAGAACCAAATAGATCGTATTTGCATCAACAAAAAATTCCGAAGGACAATGGAAGATGTGAGAACCAGGAGAGGTGCTGACGTAGCTTCAGATCACCACCTAGTTGTAGCCAATTTGAAACTGAAGCTAAAAAAGAACTGGACAAGTGGACAAACAGCAATACAAAGGTTCAATACAGCCTTCCTTCGAGATACTGTCAAACTCAATGAATTCAAGATAGCTCTCAACAACAGGTTCCAAGCCTTACAAGATCTACTGAAAGAAGAAGAAACTAGTATGAAGGACAACTGGAAAGGCATCAAGGAAGCATTAACTTCAACGTGTCAAGAGGTTCTCGGTTTAAAGAAATACCATCATAAGGAATGGATCTCTACAGAAACACTGGACAAGATCAAAGAAAGGAATAACAAGAAGGCAGCAATAAACAACAGCCGAACACGAGCAGAGAAAGTTCAAGCACAAGCTGAATACATAGAAGCTAACAAACAAGTGAAGAGGAGCATTAGAGCCGACAAGAAGAAATACGTGGAAGAACTAGCAACGATGGCAGAAAAAGCTGCTAGAGAAGGAAATATGAAACAGCTTTACGATACAACGAAGAAACTATCAGGGAAATACAGTAAACCAGAGAGGCCGGTCAAAGGCAAAGAAGGCAAGCCAATCACCGAAATTCAACAACAGCGTAACAGATGGGTAGAATACTCCGAAGAGCTCCTGAATAGGCCGGCTCCAATGAATCCACCGAACATCGAAGCAGCACACATAGATCTTCCTATAGATGTCAATCCACCAACTACGGAAGAAATCAAGACCGGGAAAGCAGCAGGACCCGACAACATACCAGCTGAAGCACTGAAATCAGACATCGAAGCAACCATAAGCATGCTTTATCTTCTATTCAAAAAGATTTGGGAGGAGGAACAAGTGCCGATGGACTGGAAAGAAGGACACCTCGTCAAGATCCCAAAGAAAGGAGATCTGAGCAAATGTGAAAACTACAGAGGCATTACACTACTGTCAATACCAGGGAAAGTCTTCAACAGAGTTTTGCTGAACCGGATGAAGGATGCAGTAGACGCCCAACTTCGAGATCAACAAGCTGGATTCCGTAAGGATCGGTCGTGCACAGACCAAATTGCAACACTACGGATCATCGTCGAACAATCAGTTGAGTGGAACTCATCACTATACATCAACTTCATTGATTATGAAAAGGCATTCGACAGTGTAGATAGGAAGACATTATGGAAACTTCTTCGACACTACGGAGTTCCTGAGAAGATTGTCAATATTATCCGGAACTCATACGACGGACTACAGTGCAAAGTAGTGCATGGAGGACAGCTGACAGATGCATTTCAAGTAAGGACCGGAGTCAGACAAGGCTGTCTACTCTCTCCCTTCCTCTTTCTTCTGGTGGTCGACTGGATTATGAAGACCTCAGCATCTGAAGGAAAACACGGAATACAATGGACAGCTCAGAATCAATTAGACGATTTGGACTTCGCAGATGACCTAGCCCTCCTATCGCATACACACGAACAGATCCAGAAAAAGACAGCTAGTGTAGCAGCAGTCTCTGCATCAGTAGGCCTCAGCATACACAAAGGGAAAACTAAGGTCCTCAAATTCAAAGCGGAGAACAGCAATCCAATCACACTTGATGGCGAAACTCTGGAAGACGTAGAGTCCTTCACATACCTGGGAAGCATCATCGATGAACAAGGAGGATCCGATGCAGACGTAAAGGCGAGGATCGGCAAAGCAAGGGCCGCTTTCCTACAATTGAAGAACATATGGAACTCAAAACAACTTTCAACCAATATCAAAGTAAGAATCTTCAATACGAACGTCAAGGCAGTTCTACTGTATGGAGCTGAAACTTGGAGAACTACAACAACCACAATCAAGAAAGTACAAGTATTTATAAATAACTGTCTACGCAAGATACTCAACATCCATTGGCCGGATACCATCAGCAATAGCCTTCTGTGGGAGAGAACAAACCAACTTCCAGCTGAAGAAGAAATTAGGAAAAGACGATGGAAATGGATAGGACATACATTACGCAAATCGTCAAACTGCATCACGAGGCAAGCCCTAACTTGGAATCCTGAAGGGAAGCGGAAAAGAGGAAGGCCAAAGAACACATTGCGTCGGATAATAGAAGCAGATATGAAAAGGATGAATTACAACTGGACGGAGCTAGAAAGGATTGCCCAGGACAGGGTTGGATGGAGAATGCTGGTGAGCGGCCTATGCTCCTTCACGAGGAGTAACAGGCGTAAGTAAGTAAGTAAGTAAGTAATCCAATCACATCATTGCATTTAGTATCTTAGTGGTGTTTTACCGTAAATCATAGTTGTTTGAACTCTTTTTATTAAAAGAAGTCTAAAGGACCTTTAATTCAAAGTTGTATCATCTAGCTGCCTCATTGCATGTATCAAAATTATGCTGATTAGATTGAATTTTTCCCCCTTCCAAGAGTTCTTTTAGGTTATAATGGTACAATATTTGCATATGGTCAAACAGGCAGTGGAAAAACCTATACAATCACAGGAGGTGCAGAGAAATACTCAGAAAGAGGTATCATACCAAGATGTCTTGCTTATCTGTTTGGTCATTTTGAAAAAGTAAGCTTCTATTGTTTGTTGACAACATTTTTCATTTTGATGACTGGTTGAAAACATATTTTGAATTCGGTATTAGCTTAAGCCACTCCGATCTCGTTCATTGTAAAATGGAAACACTTAAGTACTTCAAGACTTTCAATGGGCTGAACAAGTTTTGACTGTCTCAAGTAATGGAGATCTATTAAATCAGTAGTCAGTTTTCTAGTTGAAGTGAGTACTTACAGATGTGTTGTAATTTCTGAGCTGGGTGGTTTAATCACAAAGCTTTCATTGTCATTCTGAACGAAATGATCAGGGTCCACTTTTACGAAAAGAAATTTCTGATGACACTGTTCAGAATGGCAATGAAATCTTGGTAATTAAACTAACCAGTTTAGAGAACATATAACAATCAAGAGTATGTTAAATAAAAGAAATATTGGGTTGGTTACAGTTAAAAACCGATATTTCATTCTGGATTACTGTCATCGGAAAAAAGATTGGTCTAACTACAAGTTATATCAACAATTCAGTTATTCAAAGTGTTATATCTCAAAGATTGTTCTTAGGTATCAGTCGGTATAACCCGTGTTATTTCATTGTAAAAGCTTCAATGAGTAGTCGGGAATAAAATTATGCTCGGCTTGTTTAAAGAAAATTTATGATCTTATGTTAATACTAAGTGACTGGTGTTGGAAATATGAATCAGTGAATTCCAGATAATTGATCTATAGACATCGGACTATTTGTGATCTTTTAAGGTTGTGGATTTGATTCGGCATTGAAAATTTCTATTCTGGGACAAAATAATTATTCAACGGTTCTTGATTTTCATTAGTTTTGCTGTTGCTGTCTGTTTGTTATGAAAGCAATTTAACAGTTCACCAAATCTTTCAGAATAAACTGAAGCGTTTCAATAGAGATTGTTGAATTTTCGTAGTTTACAAGGATTATAGTTAGACCACCATTGAAAACTAGAAAGTACTGGATAGCTGTTTAATCATGGGGGACCCATTAGTAACAGTGAGCGTCCACTATTCCACAGTAGATCGAACTCAGGATCTCAAGGTCTCACTATGAATGCCTAACTATCAAACCACTAATTCTCTATTCAATAGTTTACATATTTAGCTTCAATCATTTCGCAATATCGCAAGATTCTGTTTCACTCCTTGAGGTGGACAGTTCTCTTGAACTGAACATAGCTGAAAGCTTTAAAAGACTAGCCATTTCTATAATTTTGAAGTGTTATTAAAAACTTTAACATTATGAAAAGTTAGATTTATTGGAATTTGGAAGAAATGTTTGAATTTTGTAATTGTCAAATTGAATTATTCCATTTTCATGAGAAACAACATACATAATAAACACAATTAAGTTTGCTAATTTGAAAGTTCTTCTGCATAAACATTCAATTTCAATTTCTGTTGAAATAAAAAGGTAGGAACTACATTTCATATTTATAAAAACTCAACTATAAAGAGCAACAGAAAGTTTGTACATGTTTCCTCAGATTGATTACGTAATGCGATCATATTTATTCGTTCTGTTGGACGAGTATATTTTTGACAAGTATTTATGGCCATTTTTATCAGTTAATTGAACTAGCCAGATCATGCTTCGCATAAAACATCAATGGTATCGGATGATAATCACAATATATCTCTTGTTAGCTGAAGTTAAACATGACTGAAATATACCTGTTATGACCTTGAATCGCTTTTACCCCGTTGATACTTGTTATGACTTGACCTTGATCTGTCTAGTCTAAAACATGACCTTGACGCGTTAGGCTGAGCGGCTTAACCTTGAGTCTAGTACGCGTGGGTTCGAGATGGGGTAGAGAGACAACTATTCTAGAACCTGACAAGACAGTTGGAACACTGAACTCTGGATTCTCTGAATTCGGATTACTACAAAAATGTACATGAATAAATAAGTGAATATCTTGACCACGACTTACGACAATTTGGAAAAATACAGTTATGCTCGAAACAGGGAATTAGGGTAGAAAATAAAGTGCAAAATATTATGTTTAAATTACAATATTTTCGGAACAAAAAAAGGTATGCTAGTGAATGATACATAGAACAAAAGCTCGTGTTATGTAGAATAAGATAGGGACAAAAGTAAATATAAGTGTTTTACAGGGTTTGAATGAAATGCAATAATGTCCCAAGAAAATAGCTTTCGTAATTGTCTGGGCTTCTTAATTCCTCGTTCGCAACAATACCATTCATAGACTGGCGTCACATTCGGTCCGATCATAACAAGCCTTTCGGTCATTTTGACGATTTGTTTTATGAAAAAATTGTATTAACTAAAGAAGTACACTGAAATTCATGGGGGAATGGATAACTCTTTTGTCTGTGTTCTTAAACATTTTAACAGTGTGAATTCACTACCTGATGTGGCGGTAAGAAACAGATTTCTAGCTGTTTTTAGGGTCTGTATGTTCGGAGAGTGATACAGAGTAGGTATATTGATTTAGTCCTACTATTTATCAATTTGTCTAGACTCTTTACCTAGTGCCAATGACCTTCGGCTAAACAATGACACTATGATAGTGAGCCGATAGATGAGAATAAAACTTAACGACAATTGGTCCACAACGTATTTCTCTCATTCTCGCCCGCCTGACAGCTAGGATAGAACAGGATACAACAGATAGATTTCAAACCCCACAGTTCACTTTTATGACACAGCTCATACAACAGTAAAGAGTAAAATCTCAACCATGCGTCAACACCATTAAGAAATTACAATATTTAGCATAACCACGTTATAAGTGGGAGAGAACTGATTAATGAGTTCATACTAAATTGACAGTATGTGAAGAAAGGTACAATATACATTCACAGTTTATGTATCATTAATAAACTGACAAATAGAAAAATACAAAGTACAATAACTTCAGTATTTAATAAGTATACAACGAAAATCTAAACAATAAAGTCAGGTAGAATAGTTCTTAATGTTCAGTTTTGCATCGTATTTATCCCATCATATCACCATCAAATATTGAGATCAAACTCGAAAAAAAACTTAATCTCTTTTGATGTGATATTATCCACGCTTTTTAGTCAGAACTCAATAATGATTTATCATTTGGAAACTTCAGTTTATATTTTGTACACCGCAAACGCTTAATCATCTGTTCTTATTGTCTGTTTTTTTCATTGTATTTCATTTGAAGGATTTATCAAGTGAATATACTTTAAAAATTTCTTATATGGAGATTTATAATGAAATTGGCTATGATTTATTAGATTCTAGACACAATAATATGACATCGAAGTTGGAAGATTTGCCGTAAGTTTAATCACATTTAAGTCATTACTTGTGTCGTATTTAAAGGTAAAAGTGTGATATGGGGATGAGTTAATCAGAATTAAGAACAAAAATTGTAGACTTTTGAGCTAAATTTAAATATGACGTATAATGAGAGGTAGAAATTCCTTTTTTATGCTGTTCATAAAGTTTAATATGATAGCGTAAACTTATGTTTCGGAATAACCAAGTTTAAATGACAGTGTTATTTGTGTCGAATATTCGATTTTAACTCTGTAGGTCGTATATAACAGGGAAAACCAACACTGTTCTCAAATGGTGTTCATATTGTTGTGCCAATGAGATGTGATAACTTGGGCCGACGCATATATGTGCCTGGTTCTACTTTGTGGCTGACTGATCGACTGTTCTCAAATGGTAACCCTCAACCCTTTATCCTGAAACAAAGTGTAACCTGATCGTACTCGATTATCTTCTAAATGAACTAATCAAATAGTGCTTCTTGCATTTTTGCTCGAAATCCATTTATCCAGATGTATACCGAGCATTTTTGCATTTTGGCTAATGTTAGTTCGTGATAAAACCCTTAACCCTGAGTAGGAATAGTTGAGGGACTGAAGAATATATCTGGCTCATTTTAATGGTTCGAAAAGTTGAACAATTTATATCCATTAGGGCGAGTTTATATGTTTTTTTCGATTTACAGGCAGAATAACCAATAGAAGACATTGTTCATGAATTATATAAAACTTGTTTACACCTTATAAAATGATTGTTTTTTCTTCCATCCATTTGTAAAAGCTGTTTTCTGACTGACTACAAATTATCGGAAAATTCGTTGCAGTTGTTTTAATATTGTTCCTAAACTGTATTAAAAATGTTAGAACTTTCTACTTTAAAATTAAAATTGCGTATATCTGTTTATCAGTATTGTTCTTTGGATGCAAGAATTTAAAATTTGTGTTTCATTTTTATTATAAATATTAATCTTACGGCAGGTCAGTCAACTTCATGGAGAACATTGGCTCTGATGTTGACCATGAAAGTGTTTATTATATTAACTTGGTAGTTAGAATTTCTTTATGCGGCCTGACGAGATGATCTTATTATTATTGTTATTATTAATGGCTTTATTCAATATTATATTTTGGTACAATATAGAATTCTCAGCACAGGGTATTTCAACAAGTTACTTACTGAACAACGAACAAAAGGCAGTAGCGAATACATAAAGAAATATCTTGACTTCTAATGGTCCATCGATTTAAGCCCCTTTTTCAATCGCATCCCAGGCTTGAGTCCCAGTGAGAGAACGCCACAGACAAGCTCGTATTATGATCTTTTAGCACACATACGTTTATCTATATGCATTTCGAACCACTACTGTATGAATCATAGTTTATGCATAAATAAGCAGAAAAAGGAGTGAGCCATCCAAGCCAGGAATAATTAATTAACAGTATTTAAAGAATAATAAAGTTTATGGCAATGATAAGTCGGTTCAACGGAAACTTTCCATGAAGAGAGCATAGAACTATTAAAGTTCAATCATCCAACAATCATACAATAAAAATATAAGTAATAACAATCAGTAAAATCGTTTTTAAAGTTATACTTTTATCAGTGTTTCTCTAGCTATAACTTTCTGAGCATTTGTATGTGATGTACATTCCTATGACTCAGTGAACTGCTAATAACACAATTTGACTAGAAGATTGACTTTCACTAGAAAAATTTGTTATTCAGTTAACTTGTCAAAGTACATATTTAACACGCTTTGACAAAATCTTATCTCCACGTTATGATAATACAACATATGTTTCCTCGTAAATCCTTTAAATTGTAAACAGTACATAGATATATGTTCTTCTGGGTTTCTCTTAAACTAAAAAATAAGCTGTATCGTTTTTTTTGGAGTTCAAGTAGGAAACTGAAAGTCACTATCTGGATTTTGAGGCAATAGTAATATCATAGTTTTACTGATGTATATATGGATGAGTAATGAGCATCTAGCTTATTCGATATCAATAAGTTATATTTGGTTCAGGGTAGAAACATCTATATTAAATAAATTAAGAGACTTCGAAAAATTCTCGTCATCAAATAAAAACGATAAATGAATGATCCACAAGACTATAATTTATTTGTACTATCAGAATAATTAGTACGAAAATAGTTTGAACAGTTGTTCATTGTTTGGAGGTAGTCGAAAAGAAATCCTGAACCGTTGTCTCATGCTAGTTGAGAGTCGTCAGTAAGGTTTACCCATAATTATGAAGAAATTAATTCATTCTCTAAGATTTGAACACTCATTACCCAGCTTCCTATTCTGAGACATTACCGCAGAGTTATTTAAGCAGCGATTGACCTCCTGTAGAACTGAGATATCTACGAATAATTTGTCGCTGACAAGTGATCACACTGTAACTTCATTTACGGAATTCAATAAACATTATGAACTACACAAACACGATATTGGTCACTAATTACTGTCTAATTAATTATAATTAAAATAGACTTATTGAGCATAATACGCTAATGATTTAAGCATTTTTTTAATGTATTGAACATATCATTCATCAGTCAGAAACCTACCCTTTTTAATCGGTTGTAGGATATGATAACTAAACATTTGTTACACATATTATTATTACTATTATTACTATCATTACTGTCATTTTACAGACGAGTCACTCTATTCGAACATACTGAAGCTGGAACAGTACACTTGAAGAATTTATCGATTCATTCAGCTTCAACTACAGATGAAGCATTAAATTTACTTTTTATGGGTGATACAAATCGAATTATTGCTGAAGTAAGTTCATGACAAAAAACATCAATGTTTATTTATTTGATAGAAATGGTCATGTTTTTTGTGTGATGTGAGTTTTCAATCAAACGTTTGCCTACAAACTATTCAATTCAATGGATGAATGAAGTAGGACATTCAAACGAAAATTGTTATTGTATCATTCTAATATTTTTTGCTTAAACACTTTATATCTTCTCTATTTTACAAGAATATGTATCTACATGAGTATGTCTGTATTGAATTCGAGGAATATTTTATTATGGAATCAATAGACAGTATAATATATAATCCCTGTAACAGATTTGTTATAATGTAGTCTTTTAAAAATTTTCTAGTCTAAGTTTCTATTGGGGTTTTTTGAAATCTTGATATTGACACCTTGATAAAGACTTGGATTCCAACACATTACATTAATGTGAACATCACAATGATATCTATTTTGACTAAAGCAAGAATTCATTATATTTCATGGTTTCTAATCAGCTCCTACCAACCTAAATATAATATTATTATTCATTAAAAATCAGGTTATGTACTTTATATCACAATATCGGAGATGTTCTCATCAGTGAAGATTGAGGAAAGAAAAGCAATAATTGTGGAAGAACTATAAAATATTTTCATATGTTAGTTGAGGTGAATATTTATAGACTGAATACAAGAATATTCTAAAATAAAAACTAAGTATATAGAAACAGAACTATTAACCAACTGAGTACAGATCACATGTGCGTGCCAAAGCGCATACATTGGAAGAACAGAAAAGGGGCGTCACTGTTCCCATCTCTGTGCTCATGCTACAGAAGCTTAGACTAAGATGACAACACGTTTTCAACAGTGCTATTGGACACTATCTGCATGGCAGAGGTCATGATTTTGGTGTCTCAAAGTCCTTTAAGATCATGAATAAATGAAAAGGATCGAATTTATTACTGTTTGCTGAGGCGATTGACATAAAGAGATTGAAACCAAGTTTAGGCATCTAAGAAGACTCGGTTATCAACCTTGCTTTGCTGTGGTGACCTCTTTCATAAATGTTCGCTACTCAATTCTTTTCATGACACTAATTAATTCCCACTTCTTATGTGATCTGCACTCAGTTAATTTGTTTTAAGGGTTACATAACTTTCTTAGTTTTCATTCTAGAATATTCTTACATTCAACTTATAAATATTCACACTACTTGGCATGGAAACATCTTTTATATTCCCCTCACATTTATTTCTTCCCTTTCATTAATCTTCACTGATGAGATGATAGGTTTGATCCCTTGTAAAATAAGATGCTTGATGTGCACTCCTGAGGGGTCTCAAACGAGGACGAAACAGGTGTCCATTGCTTCCTGCTTTTGAGTGGTGATTTAACTAAAAACAGTTCATGATTTCAACTACGAAAATGTGTATCTTTAAAATCCTTAATTTCGAATTCGATGACAATCTGTTATTCGATCAAAGACTGTTATCTGTTTACATCCATCATAATCATTAATTTACGTAACTTGCAAATATGAGTATTTAATATTCTTCAATACTATCACATGTCACTTTTTACTGAATTACTCAATCATAGATAACGTCTGGAAAATGAAGCTGCCCAGTTTGTCACCTTTCTTTTTGTTTTTATAACATGAGGAAATAAACATTTAGTGTTCCCTTGTTTTCAATAGTTTGTGACATTGGATCAACTGTATGTCACACGAAATCTACTCATAACTGTTTGAACTGATGCAGTGAATTAATTATGTTGGGCATTTGTTGTGTTTTCTCATGGTCAAGCACTTCTAAGCTGTACTCTCTTCAGCTTAGCGGTCATCCTTCAGCTAATTCTTATTCGTTTAATCTATTGATCATGGAGTCTGTCATTCATTTTAAGATTGTTAATAATGACTCTTCTACCAAGTCACAAAAGTCAAGTCAAGATCAGTTAAATGAGGATAAATATCCTTTTTTCAGTGTTTAATAAAAGTGAAATGTCTAGTTATTTTAGGAGTTTTCTCGTTCACTTTGTGAGTACTGCATACAACGGCATAGTTTTTGCTGAGGATTTTATTCCAATCATCTAATGCCATATGCAGACGTCTTCTGTGAACACTCTAATGTCGCGCATTTAAGCTTGCTGGATCACAAAACAAATATAAAGTAAAAGCCAGAACTTAAAGTGAAATCCCCAGGGAAAATTATGCTCTTTCTTACCTGCCACATTCACTTACTTAGTGAACGAGAAAATGCTAGATATTCCACACATATTGAAGATTTAAACGCAAGTACGCTCAAAAGTCCCAGTCATCTATCCTATCCCAATCGATTTTATGACCCATTTTAACCGTGTTTTCCAGTGGAGAGAGATGTGTTTGTCATCTGGTCATAACGGGTTATTTAATCTCTTTTGTTTATGTCTCCATTTCGCTACATCTTCAGCTACCATGACATGCAAGTCGTAATTACTGCTCTCTATGTGCGTGTTCGCATATATATATATATATATATATATATATATATATATATATATATATATATATACAGTGCACTTTTATTAGTCATTTGTAATGTCCACAAGTTTGTTAAATTTCATTTATTTTGAATGGTTAAATCACTCTAGACACCGATGAATGAAGCTTCAACTCGATCTCATTGTATATTCACCATACATATCACTTCGCGTCCGCATGGTTCATCAGTTATACGACGTTCAAAATTGCATCTTGTGGATTTAGCTGGGTAATTTATTGTATTGGATTCATTTTATTTCCTGATTAGATCTTTTTATTGAATCTTTTTTTGGTATAAAATAGTTTATGGTTAAGTATGATTTTATACTACAAAAGGTAAGTGATGATTGACCTTTAGAAGATATACAGAACAGTCGGTGTTCGAAGGTAGTCGGGCAGTAAGCCCTTGATTTTGATTTTGTGCTAGTCGGTATTCATTAGCTAGGCGTGCCTGGATTCTTCAAGGAATGTGTTAGTATTGAAGGACTTGACGGTAAATAATAATGACAAAGAGGAAAGTCTATAGTACGCAAGTCGTTAAGATGATATACACACCCTCCCTCCTAATTACATATTAAGTAGAAATCAATTGTATGATCATATATTGGTTTTAGATGGTTTTTGTCAATTTGATTTTTAATAGATTCACTAACCATCAACTGCTGAGTGCGTTCAGTGTGTAACTGTGTGAATTTGAATGTGAATTATTCTTCTTTGATCTAACAATGATTTTATTTATGATCCACTGCTTTGTATCAATGTTGTTTGGTAGGAGTGAACTTTTTGGAGATACCAATACATACAGGGAGGTTCGTGTTCTTGCTTAGGATTTTCAGTAGCGCCCTTGAGTAAATCAGACTTGTTATTATTTCAAACATAAATTTCAACAGCTATCAACTTTTAATTTAGACTTGTTTTCATACTATCCAAATCCGTCCATTAAAATCAGTTATTTATTTTACTGTTGTTGTTTTTCTCTTTTTATAGTTCAGAAAGAGTGTATAAATGCGGTTTAGATGGTACTTTATTAACAGAGGCAAAATACATTAATTTGTCATTACACTATTTAGAACAGGTGAGTCTATTACATTATGACTAGTCATTATCTTCTACTAAGTAAATATGTTCTCCATCAACCTAAAGCATTTAGTTATTAGTTACATTTTCCTACAGGAAACCAGTATGTTTTCTAAGTCATATACATTTATGATGATCAAGAGATGTCGGTTGTAATTTTAATCTTGAACTGATTTTAACTAGATCACCACTGATAAACTGGAAGCACTGGACGGCCATTTAAATACAGAGTATTCAACAAAATAATATGAATATGAATTACCTGGCAGTTAACAAGTAAAAACTAAGGTTATTTTACTTCTGCCATATATATATATATATATATATATATATATATATATATATATATATATACGTGGAATAAATACGGATGCATGTCTGTTGTACACAAATGACATCTGGAAACCGTACCTTCTGGTTGGAATTCTTGCTTCAGTTAGTTGAACAATTTTATGTGATAAATCATTTGGTACGGTTTATATTTATTACTAAATTCAGTGTGGTTATGAAATAGATAACTTCATATTCTTCAAATCTTGTTATATATGCTTTGTTTATATTTATCAAAGGATCAAGTTTTATAAAAGTGTTCTCAATCGTTTGGTACACATTACTTACTTACTTATGCCTGTTACCATTCGTGGAGAAGTATAGACATTCCACCAGCATTCTCCATGCAACTCTGTCCTGGACAACCCTTCCCACTTGCTATTCATCATTTTGATATCTGCTTCCAATTTTCGGCACAATGTGTTCTTTGGCCTTCCACCCTCCCGTTTCCCTTTAAGATTCCAAGATAGCTCTCGCTTCGTGATGTAGTTTGATGATTACTGCAATGTATGTCCTATCCACTACCATCATCTTTTTCTAATTTTCTCTTCAGTTGGAAGTTGGTTTATTCTTTCCAACAGTATCCTGTTGTTGATGGTATCTGGCCAACGGCCATTGAGCATCTAACGTAGACAATTGTTTACAAGTACTTGTTTTTTTGATGATGTATGTTGTAGTTCTCTAAGTTTCAGCCTCGAAGAACAGAACTGTCCTGACGTCAATATTGAAGATTCTGACCTTGATGTTGGTTGACAGTTGTTTTGAGTTCCATATGTTCTTCAACTGTAGTAATGTTGCATTGTTTTGCTAATCTTTGCACTTACAGATCTTCCTTGATGATGCTGCTCAAGTACGTGAAAGTTTATATCTCTTGCAGAGTTTTTTCACCGAATGTGACTGGGATGGTGTTTTCCGTGTTGTATACATAAATACGGAAATTTATGTTAATTTACAATTGAAGCTTAAATTTATTTTACTTTACAGGTGATTATAGCATTAGCTGAAAAACAACGTACACATGTACCATATCGTAACAGCATGATGACAATGATGCTGAGAGATAGTTTAGGCGGTAATTGCATGACATCAATGATTGCTACATGTAGTATTGAACAAGAAAATTTACAAGTAAGTTTATCAAAAACAAACATTACAATTTTTTAGTGCCCATCGAAAGTAAATCCTATTTATTTTTAAGTTTGCAATGTGTCGGATGCAGGTACATCTAATCGACGAGTCCCAGATAAGGCAAAATGCGTGTCCTGGATTCCACTGTTAACCACCATCCATGATTGCTTATGGTGAACGTAGTTATTACAAAGGAGATATGACGAAAAATGATTTTTATCATGTATAAACAGAAACGTATATTGACATTTTGCTATCTTATATATGGAACTTATTAATGAATAAGATGGTTTGTCAACACAGCATCTACCAACTATACGTCTTCTATTTCAGTGCATTTTGTTAAGACTATTATATAGCTGTATCTATTCGAAAAAATGTTCATTTGTATAATTCGATTACTACTAACGACTGGATAAACATAATATTGGTTATTACTCAATAATGAATCATTGTGATGATCTCAATCCAACAGGAGGTCGGTCGCTCCATGAATGGAGAAGTAATGTTTCTGATTTTGAAAATAGATTATGCTGGTTCAAATTCCACGAACAACATCCGTTGTTTCAGATTCACCTAGCTAACGATATCCAACTAACATGAAACTAAAGTTCACGGCATCCTGCCGATGTCTTCTAACCATCTTATTGTTAGAATGAATGATATTTCGAGTGCAACCAACTTTAAAGATGGTTATTTGTATGCCGAAATGAACTGAGATTTTAAAATTATACGTTGTGTATTTGAGATAATTTTCATCCCAGACTTCTAATAAGGAATAATTTAGAAAATTCGAGGAGCTCGTTCATATTAGTCGGGGAGTTTTGAGATATAGAGTTAAGAGTTAGAGTTGGGGGGTATTAGTTAACAATAAACATCAAGTACTTTCGTATACAATGTGCATTAGAAACAGGTATTTCTTTCAATTTGGCTTAAGAACCTGTGGCAAAGAAGTTTTTTTATCCATTTAGAGGATTCTAAAGACCACATATCGTCAATTTTCACTCAGTTTATAATGAGATACAAATTATTTTTCACTGAACTTGTAGTTTCACTCAAAAATCTAACAGGCGATATCTTAATTCTGACTGATAAACTCCAAGACTTTCAGTGTAGTATACTTTCATCGCATTTGTAGTTAATACTTATTATTTTTCAAAACTTTAGGAAACAATATCAACGTGTCGTTTTGCACAGCGTGTTGCTTTAATCAAAAATGAAATAACCCTTAATGAAGAACAAGATCCTTACTTAACTATCAATCATTTAAAATCTGAAATCGAACATTTAAAAGCTGAATTAGCGTTTGCTACAGGTATAGAAAAAGATGCTACATTGAACGCTGAAGATAAAGAAAAGTAAGAAAGTTCATTATTCATCATGCAATTATTATTTTTAATTGTTAAGAGTAGGTAACGAAAAAGAAATATAAAATTTGAGTATCTATTCCCTAGTGAATCACTTTGTACATATTTGATGAATAATTATCAAACAGTTGATTATGAGCATTTTTAGATAGTGTTAGTTATAAGTTATTCATACTTCGATGTATTTAATATGTGGCTAACAGTGGAAACTGAGACGAGCGTATCGCCCGGATCAGGACTCGTCAACTGAACCTACTTGCATTCTCTTGTCGATGTTCACACTACCGGAAATTACAGATTTATTAATATTCATATTCATATATAATCTGGTAGCCAGGCCGTTTTTCAATATCACATGAGTGACAAAAACCCTAATTCTTTATTAACCAGTTTTTGAAATAACTTATAACCATGCTACCACTTTTGATTTGTCCAACGAACGGTCTCTGACAACAAATCAAGACTGTCCTGGAGACAACAACGAGACGAGTTTCTCGTATCAGCACGTCTCAAACAATCACTAAGTGGATTTTTGAACTGATGCCATGTTTTATTTTCGTCAGCCTTAGTCTATTTTCAACTCACGTACTAGTCACCAGAAAACGTCAGATTAAGAAGGTAACTTGGTTTGCGTACCACTACCAACAGATTAAGTTAGAAAAGAATCTTAATGGTCAAACTTTTCAAAAGATTCTTAGTTAGTGCACATTTTAATTGCGTTACTTATTTTGATGATTATGAAATATCACAAATGGTCCAGTCGTATATATATATATTCATTTGGTAGCAACTTAGATGGCTCAAAGTTTCTCATGATGCTTGTAGTTATAATGAGTTTGTTTTCGAAATAAACTGTAGTATTTAATAGACTTTTTTTCTGAAATTTAGATGTGAGAAATTAATCCAAGAATTTTTACATACACCATCAACTAATGAAGAAGTATGTGTACCAGCTCCAATTCTTTCAAATATTCATATGATAAATTTCGGTTTCTCAGTAATGCATGTAAGTTATGAAGTGGCCAATTGTATATTATACAATAATTTGTTTTCCTTTAATACATGATGAATGTATTGTTTTAGTTAGTTAATATTAATAAAGGTGCGAGTAAAAGTACGGGTGAAAAAGGGTGAGATTGAAAAGGATGGACCTCATTGAGGATGTTCATATGTCATAATGCATATTCTTAATTCAGTTTTCTTTATAGATAAGTTGCAAGTTTATCAACTAAAAAATGAAATTAATAGACTAAATTCTACAGGTAATCAGTGTTCTCTGAAAGGAAATGTTTGACGAAATCTTATTCAAAGAACATTATTTCGAAGTGTACATAGGCATCGAATGAGAGCCAACAATGAAATCACCTTTCTTACTCTCAAGTTAAAAATTATCTATGAAAAGGAAAGCCTACTCAAATAATCTAAATTGGATGACAGACCTCTTTTAGTTAACTATATTTATATTTACGTGTGCCTGTAATAGGATTTACATTCTCAGAACAGATAGAGCATTATCCTAAAGAATCTCCAAATCATCCATCAGAGATATAATTTAGTCTGTTTTAAAAATACTTGACATAAATTGTAATAGTCTGTGCCGTCAAGTAATTTGTATTTATTGACACATGGGTCAGTTGCTTAAAATAAGTAGAATGAGAATATCATGTCAAAATGGTATTCAGTAGTAAGTGAAAAGCCAAACTGTCAAAACCTCACTTTTGATGGAAACCATACTAGTTATTAAGGAGGTAGACTAAATTCTTAACTTGGTTTATCGAAAGAGATATATGAAATAACATCACTGGGCTCATAAGTGTGATAAATTGTTACTTAGAAAATCACAGTATTTGTTAAAAGTAGAGTTTTCATTGTACGTTTGAAAGAACTACGTTTTGTATTGATTGTTAAGTGCCTGGTAGCAGAAGGTTGAAAAGATCGAGTCGAAGAGAACGGGAATGTAAACAGAGAGTAATTGTAATAGCAATGAAGGAACGACGAAGTATGAGACAAATGATGGAGGATTTGCAAATGAAGTATTTAACGTATGGTTTTCACATTTTACGAATAAACTCTGTAATTTCGTATTAAACAACAAAACGGTTATCTCCATCAAGTCTCCGTTCATTATAATACTACTAGAATGCTGACACAATTAATCAGTAGGTCTTTGTTCTTGAAAATCAATAGTTGTTTTAACATTTTACGAATAAACTCTGTAATTTCGTATTAAACAACAAAACGGTTATCTCCATCAAGTCTCCGTTCATTATAATACTACTAGAATGCTGACACAATTAATCAGTAGGTCTTTGTTCTTGAAAATCAATAGTTGTTTTAACTCGATTTTAGATTGTTTGAAGTTCTTGCATTTTACTGTTCATAAATGTTGATAGTGTACATGTACAACTTTCTAATTTATAAATACTTATATATTAGGCATTATATTGGAAAAATACTAAGAAATTTGAATCAATTAAAGCATCCGCCAAACAAGCTGTAGTTCCATCTTTACCAAACGCTACCAAAGAAGCAAATCAGTTACGTGAAATTTTAGCTCAAAGAGATCATGAAATCCGTATCCTTTACAGAAGAATTAATATATATATATATATATATATATATATATATATATATATATATATATATATTATTGTTATTAAATTTGAGCAAATACGGCTTTGAAATCTAATCCAAGAAGCGGTAGTTTATGTCGGAAGGTTGGAGGAGTTTGACAAGTTCACCAACTTAACATTTCCCGTTTGATTCCTACAGGTAGCTGTCGTTCCCTTAAGAGTATAGAATAATTTTGTTAATGAATGCTAACTAGCATGAAATCTTACGTGTACGTACTCCAACTGATTACCTTCAGTCATCTAACACCATATATAGTACTTAACAGTGTCAAATCCCCTAAACAAATTATGTAATATAACAAAGTTCTACTACCTACTGATGAAAATAAAGTTGGTAGATTTATATGAATTTGTAATGTATAGGGTCATTCCGTATTTTGATAATTTGGTTGATATTTGATCAGTCTTAGCTGGTAAATAAGTATTATGTTTAGACCACTTGGATATAGCCATGATGGCACAAGTTCAACTAAGACATTAAATTTCAATCAAAATATCAGTAACGAGATTATCCAAATCATTCAAATTCAATTGAATTTCAAACTCGTTACAAAAAACCAAGATCTATCCAGACTGAGTAACTAAGTGGCACTTGAAGTGAATGACACTGGTTTGGAATCCCAGAGTGGAAATCAACTCTTGAATTCAGGCACATATAACTGATAAGTTCTAAACACGATGAAACATGCCTCCGAGTTACCTCAACTATCTCCAAATTTCATTTACTCTAAATAAACCCAAAAGATGTTATGTAACACTTAAATATAACTTCAATTGTCAATTCTTAACAAGAACTGAAAAAAAATGTCGAATAGGTGTATTAATTAAGCTATTAAAACAACAGAAGCAAAAAAGTATCCCAAAGAACTACTCACCACATGTATACACTAATACAAACATTCAAAATCATGATGACAATAGAGATACATATTCACAATGTATAGAAAATACATTAACAACTGAATCTTGTAAAATACAAAATAAAAGTAATATTGAAGAACATAAAACGCTTCGAACAACCCAAACAAATACACTATTGGATGAATCCAAACGTGCAGTTGATCATGTGACAAAATGGTTAGAACAACAAGTCAAAGGAAAATTACGTAAGTGTTTGGCTTACAAAATTTTTGTTTGTTGATTACTAATTCGGTTCTCTATTTTTCAAGTTAACTGGATAGTGTAATATGAAGATTTGAAAAACATGTTAGACAATAAATTCAGTTAAGAAATGTCTGTAAAAAGGAATGAATTATTTTGGGATCTTTTTTGTATATGAGACGTTCGTTGATATCGCCTGCTAGGTTTATGACTGAGAATCCCGATTGTGATTTCTTTACCCCACGAATGTTACTTCGGCTATCGTTAGCGTCCTAAGCCTTGACCACCGGTATGTCTCGACCGACGCGATTAACCTTGGGCCGAAACGAACGTCAGGTTAACTCCTGTCTAACTGTCTATTTGTACGTCTTCTATGTATAACCTTAAATCGAAAGGGAAGAACACAGAATTCAGGCTTCTGTTACCATGCTGCAGTCATCCATCACATCTGTTTCAAACAATCTTTAATTTAAATTCACTTGATGTTTTTTACTTGTATCTTTAGTTTATATGGATCATTATATAAATTGTCAGACTAAAACGCAAACTAAATTTGAAATCATACTTCACATACAATCATGAGATATGGCTGAAAACCGATATTTAATTGGCGATCATTAAAGAATAGTAAATCGTACAAGGTTAGCTCATAGGTCCGACGGACCCTTGCAATAATCCAGTTATCTAATAAGTATACAATAAAATAAAAAATATTTATAACAATCTGTGAAATAATTCCAAAATTTTCAATGCTTTCAACACTGGCCAGCCTATATTTTATACCACTGTGCATCCCTGTCTTCATCTGGTATCTGACTCATGATCTTCAAATTTCACAATTGAATTCTTAATGGTTATTTAACTCACATCGATCCATGATGTAAACTGTAAAATTCAACAAACTACTTTGTTTACAGCTTTGTTAAAACGGGTTGCCTTTTAATACTCAGTGACAAATTTTTTCTTCATTATTAGCATTAGAATTGATTAATCAGCTGACTGGCGGAATTTCCTCTGTTCATATTTCTATTAACTGCCAAACATTGAGTAATGGTTTGGACCTCGATAAGGAATGGTGTCAGGGTCTATGAGATAATTTGCTTATTTTATCTTATTAAGCTCAGATCCATATTTCACCGGAGGTTTATGTCATATGTTTTTTTGGCAAAAACTAAAAATTTATTGAATTGCTGTGTTAACAGTCATGAGTTTTTTGACATTAGTTAATGATATACTTATTACTCTTACTAACAAATCTTTAGAGTAGTAGGTTTTCAGGTTTTGGATGTTCTAAAGCTCATTGAACACTCATTACTTTCATAATCTAAGTAAAAACGTTTATACTGAAACTGATGAACGAAAGCTTAATTTCAATCTCTTTAATATTTTTTACGGTATCCTACAATTAACAATACAATAATGAACCTTTTCAAATGAAACAGTTTAAAATGTAAACTTTAGTGGTTATAAAGAAAACAAGCACAAAATTCAGGGATGTGTCGTATTTTTCAGTCAGTCCAGTTGATTTGTTGATTTTCTAAATTTCGTGCTCATTGATTAGTTGTAACTCCGGTTCACTCAAACTTATTGACTCAGTTAGCATTTAAAATATTATTATTATTATGGATATAGTATTAGGTATTAAGTAAGGAAATTAGTCTCTATGAACAACATTCATATTTTTCATCTCATCGATACAGCAGTTTCATTGTGTTGTAATAACTAGCCGATAGGAATTAGTCTGTAGTCATATTAAACAGTCGTACCTATAACAGTAAACAGCATTTAGTACAAGTTAAAACGTTGACTAATCTATATTTATATTTCTACTGTTATCAAAGTACAAACTGTTTAGCATGAAAATTTACCTCATATTTATACTTTCAATGAAGTAAAATAAAGCAAAGTAAAAATATAATTTAATCATCCAAAAATTTTCAAATTGAGTGTATTCGATCTGTTTTATTTAAGACTGAAATACACAGGAAAAAAATTAGACTAATTCTTTTAAGAAATGTAAGTTTAGCAGAAGCAAAAACTGGAAGTCAATATGTTAATGTGAATTATTATCTCAGGTGATGATTAGTTGTATTTATATTCGATTTCTTTTCTATTTCTTATAATTTTACAGTTAGACTTCTTTGCATTCCATGTTCCACAAGTTGATTTTAACGTTTAAGTGGCGGTTATTTCCTCTTCCAAGATACGTTTCTTCTCTTTAAGTTTCTGTTTCTTTATTTGGCGTAGGTTTTCTTAAAACTTTCAAATCTGATTTTTAGCTCACTCTCCACATTTAAAATGTATTCTTTCTGTCCCACGCGTGAACGGTTAACTTTCGGACAGGTGAGTAGGTATCCGGTTATAATAATGTCTACTTTTAATCAATTTAATATATTGGTCAACTCTGATCAATTGTATGTGTAGATAACTGTCTCGAAGCCAACTTGGTTGAACTCCACTGGTCACGACTTCCCGCTAGAACCCTAGGAATTGTATCTTGAAGCTAGTCACTAGTTTGCACATAATTATTATTAGTATTTGTTGGGGATGTTAGATCTTCAGAACTAACTTGGTAAACACCTTAATTTTGTAATTTTACTTTGAAAATTTGATTTTCTGTTTTCGCGCCAAAAGCGAACTTTTCACTTTCATGTCGTATTTCCCACTTGGGAGAATCTTTAACGCTATTGGTCCGTTGTGTATGCTATTTTGTAACGCCGTGTATATACTTTTGATTTGTGTTTGTTGTTATCGCTCGAGCTTCTGGATACTTGGGGAATATACTTCCCCGTTTGGACTTCGACTTCTCTTTCTAGTTAGTGAGGCCGATACGCATCAGAATATCTAGCTTATAGGTCATTAGTCACAGAGTCTCTGTTCCGTTCGCAGACTAGGTGAACTCGTTAGGGCTTCAAACATAGCAGTACTCGATATTATTATTATTATTATTATTATTATCTACAATCTCCAAAAATACCCTTATACTCAACGAAACACCAGCTGTTAAACTGAGGTGTACTGCAGTCAGCTAGGTATCAGCAAGAGAATCTCTGGTAGTGTTAGAGGTATAAGGTTGTTATCACCTTTCGCTTGACCATATTGCAGAAGGATATTTCTTCTTGAGGGACCTATAAAAGAAATTGAATTAGTAGTCGTTATACAGACCTAAAAGCGTGACTCAAGAGCTCAACGGACAAGCGCATAAGTATGGTCAAACATAACCTTTCCGTAAGAATATTAATGCGCTATTTCAATACTTAAAAAAGGCTTTACGGCTAAAGATAGAAATCCGTGAAGTAAGGTGCGGTGTGACGTCTTTACAATCAGCCGTAATTTTCAGAACTCAAACCATGAGTTTACTGCTTTTGGACTAACATTTCCCTAATGAAACTGGCTGGCGGGCTGGAATCTAAAAGAACAGTTTTTATAGCCAACACAGCTCGGTCACGAAGTAAAGGTAACAACTACGGTCGGTGCGTAAATTATATATATATATATATATATATATATATATATATATATATAATCGGTAAGTGGCACGTAGTCAGTAGTAATCCAGTTTGTGTAATGAAGTAGTGTTTATAGGCTACAACATTCCAATAAACATGATATATATCTTTTAATAATATAAGAAAGAGGAGAATGACTCACTATCATTTGTTTCACTGAGATCTTAAGATTAATTAATCATGAATACATTTGATCCAAGGCAATAAACTAACAATAATAATCCCTTTTTTTAAAGTTGAAAATATAGTACTTTGTAATGTAATGTTAGAAAGGCCTTATTTATTTATTACTGGTTCATGATTCTTTCTACGTTACGTAAAGAGAAAAATGTTTCGGGTAAAAAAAGAACAACCTTAAATTAAAATAAGAAAAATATGAATTAGTGAAATATATGCTGGAAAAAACAAACAAAAACAAAATCAGTCTATAAATTACATTTACTATTGAACATTTACTGAATACACTGAGTATATTTACATGTATATTTATCATGGAATGAGTTGATTTAATTTCAAATTCATTAAAGGTTATTGTAATAATGATAATAATAGTAATAATAGAAGAGAACTATTTGTAGAAATGGTTTATGATTTTGTTTAAATAGTTTATTTATTATGAAATAACCTTTTCAAAAAGGGTTAAATAGAATAAGTTAACATTCATAAGAAAGTATATATATATGTATATACATTACATTTCTTACCTCATATGCTTATTTTGTTTGGCAACTTTTTTTCCCCACAATATTCCATCATCATCATCATTTCAATCTTTGGATCTTGTAATTTCGTGTGTGTGTGTGACATACTGTTTCTTATTACATTTTTCTACCTTAATTTATCATAATTTTAAAATGTGGTACATATATTTTACTGTCATTGTATTTCTACTATTGAAAAGAATTTCGGTAATTTATATAGAATAAAAAAGTTTCCAAAAGGCTGAATTGTTCAAGTTAGTGTCTTTAATTATATTATAAATGTTATATTTCACAAATGATTTAGTTTATATAGGATTGGAGTAATGAATAAAACTTTGTTACATTTTACTTTGATTTAAGTGACTGAGTAATGTTATTCTACCTATTAATAATTGTATAACTCAAATTGATGAACTTAACTCTGTACTAGACCCATGAGCTGGTTAAGTTTAATTCTTATTATAACGGGGGTTTGTGGAGATTGTAGTGACTTTTAACAGTTGAATTCATGAGTCAATGTAAGCTAGACCACCATTTAAAACCTGAAAGCACTGGATAGCCGTGTCGTCTTGGTATGGGATTTATCAGCAGTGCGCATCTGCGATCCCGCATGCAAGACTCGAACCCAAAATCTTCGGTCTCAAGCGCGAACGCTTAACCTCTAGACCATTTAGCCGGCATCCAACGGTGTTATTGTTTAACTTCAGTCGATTCATGGTCTTGCGCAACCATTCATCTATTGTCTGAGGTAGATACCTATCTCTACTCGACACGGACTGGACTCTACTGCTCACG